CAGTTTTAAAGGGTGTATTTCAGTGGCATGTAGTACGGTGACAGAGTTGCGCAACTGTCACCTCCATCAGCTTTCAGAACATCCTCATTGCCGCAGTGGGAAACCCCTTCTCAGTGAGCCGTCACTCCCCGTTCCCGCCGCAGTCCTGACACCCACGGATTCCTTTCCTGTCTCTGGATGGGCCTGTCATGGACGTTTCACATAAATGGAGTCACACACCAGGTGGCGTTTTGTGTCCGGCGTGTCTCACAGAGGGTGCCATCCTCAAGGTGCCGCGCCGTGGCCTGGGTCCGAGCCCTGCTGCCGTTCACGACTGTGTCACGGTCCAGTGCGTGGAAGGCTGTGCCGTGTTTGACCATTCCTCTGGGTGGACCCTCGGGCTGCCCCCACCTCTGCCTGTGAATCGTGGGTGCTTCGGTGCCCGTGCACTCAGCCGGCGTCCCCCCGAATGCCTCCTGAGGGCCTTGTTTAAGCCATGTCCGCAGGGACTAGGGCGCGCGGTCTGGAGGTGGGAGTTCCTGGGTCTCCATGTGCCTCCCAGTCCTGCTCTGAGCCTCGGGAGGCCGGGCCGTCTCTTCCCTGTATGATCTGTTTCTGGGCTGACAGAGGCTCCTGCCCCCATCCCTCTGTGAGCTTGAGTGGCGTTTATGACTCTCCTTCCTGTTTCCTGTCTGGCTAATCAACAAGTCAGCGAAACAGTCCACGCTGCCTGGGCAAGCCCAGCGAGTTCCTAACGTGGTACCTGGGAGCGACTGGCAATGCCCTGACAGCTGGGCTTCCCTCCTGCCGAGCCCTTAGGGTTCCCTGCGTCTCTTGTTCACGTTCCACTCATTATCTGGCTGGAGACGTCAGAGGAAGCCTGGCAATGTAGAGAGGCTGATGTGCCCCAGCACCCCGGTGGTGAGTGCCGGCAGGCAGAGGGTGCTGCACCCCCGCTTCTCCCCGGCATAAATCAGGGGACTCACGGGCCTGCGCAGAATGTCTCGGTCCCTTTTAGTTAAACAGAAAACCCAGTGTCCCTTGGTCTATGCCCAGCTGCTTAGGAACGCTGGGCTGTTCCTCGTTTCGGCGGCTGTGCAGTGTCCCTGTGGAAGGGAGGCAGGGGCAGCACGGTGGGAGGGGCTGGCACCTTCGATGTGGGCAGGTTCCTCCTGTTCCTGTTTCCCCACCTGTAGAATGAGGGCTCGTGAGGGAGACGTGGTGTCAGCAGGTGGCGGCCGGCACAGGGAAGTTTCCAGGACGGAGTCCCCTATCACGTGGCGTCAGCAGGTGGCAGCCGGCACAGGGAAGTTTCCAGGACGGAGTCCCCCACCCTCGTCAGTGCAGGGAGGTTTCCAGGACGGAGTCCCCTATCACGTGCATTTAGGGCCATGCAGCCCCTGAGCGGCCCCCAGAAGACTCTGAGGCCGAGCCCCTGGCCTGGCTGCCCTCCTCGGGGTTAGGACTGCACTGGAGCCCAGGCGGGTTTGAGGTGGTCCATGCACGAGGAATAGAAGGTGGACGAGAGCGGTGTGGCCCCTGAGGGTCCTGTGGCTCCCCCGGCCACACTGAGGCGGCTGGAAGAGGGTGTCGTGGACCACCCTCGCCGCCTGTAGCCAGCTTCTGCCAAGGAAGGGCACCTTTGCCTCATGGCTGAGCATCAGGCTCTCAGGGCCTGTGTTTGAGCATCCAGACTCTGCTGGCCAGTGGCCGCCTCCTCTGGCTCTGGTGTCCCTGGGGCAGTGGCCCCCTAGCATCAAGTGGCTCATCCCCGACACTAGGGAGGGCCCTGGCCTGGCCCGGTCCGGGCTCAGGCTGGTCCCAGTCTGAACACGGCACCCTCCCCACCCACCACCACTCCGTCTCCTCTGAACAGAAGGCAAGTCTTGGCTCCCGGAAGTGGGCTGTGACCCTCGTCAGCGGGGGAGGTTAGGGCCACACAGATTCCTGGGGGACAAGGGGAATTGGGCCTCTCGGACCCACCCCGAGCTCTCCTGAGCAGTCTGGCAGGCAGGAGGGCACTGGACCCTGGACCCTTTCCTGAGCCCAGCCTGGCCCTCAGTGTCCCCCTCAGTGTCCTGGGCGCCTGCCAGCCTGTGGACACAGGCCCTGGCCAACTCTATAAATAGCCGTGCCGGGCCTTGCTGGGAATTGGTGCCACCACCACATAGCCCGGAGAGAACGGAAATGCAGGGCTTCCCAGCGAAAAGACCAGGCCCGCTGCAACCAGTGGGGAGTGGGGACGCTCCTCAGGGCAGGGCGCTGGGCACAGCCAGGGGCTGGAGGCAGTCGCTCAGTGGCGCCTCTCTGTGCCCCGTCCTGTCACCCAGCTTCCTTTCCCTTCATCCTGCTCTCCCAGCTGCTCCCAAGCTGGTGGCCCCTTCTCCAGGCCCAGCCCAGTGCAGCCTGCAGCCCGGGCAGAGCCCCGGTCCTGGCCTTCTGAGATGGCACGGAGGCCAGTGAGCAGTGTCAGAGCCTTGGGATTCTTCATGTATGGGGAGTCGTGAGCTGAGGCTTCCAGCAACAGGCAGCCCTGGGCAGGGGCAGGGCAGGCTGCATGATGGGATACCCCGTCACCCCAGCTGTTCTTTTTTGGAGGTGGAGTCTCACTCACTCTGTTGCCCAGGCTGGAGTGCAGTGGTGCGATCTCGGCTCACTGCAACTTCCACCTCAAGGGTTCAAGCGATTCTCGTGCCTTGGCCTCCTCAGTAGCTGGGATGGCAGGTGTGCACCACTGCGCCCGGCTAACTTCTGTATTTTTAGTAGAGAGGAGGTTTCACCATAGTGGGTAGGCTGATCTCGAACTCCTGACCCCAGGTGATCCTCCCGCCTCAGCCTCCCACAGTGCTGGGATTACAGGTGTGAGCCACCATGCCTGCCCCCTCCCCCACTGGCTATTTTCTATGCTAGGTGCTTGCGCTTCCTGTTAAGGACATTAAAAGACTGGCCGGAGGCCTGGCGCGGTGGCTCAAGCCTGTAATCCCAGCACTTTGGGAGGCCGAGGCGGGTGGATCACGAGGTCGAGAGATCGAGACCATCCTGGTCAACATGGTGAAACCCCGTCTCTACTAAAAATACAAAAAAATTAGCTGGGCATGGTGGTGCGTGCCTGTAATCCCAGCTACTCAGGAAGCTGAGGCAGGAGAATCGCCTGAACCGAGGAGGCGGAGGTTGCAGTGAGCCGAGATAGCGCCATTGCACTCCAGCCTGGGTAACAAGAGTGAAACTCCGTCTCAAAAAAAAAAAAAAAAAAAAGACTATGGAGATGTAGTGACGTAGTTTGCACGGTCTACAACTCAGTCATTCACAGTGTACAGTTCATTGGCATTCGCACATTCACAGTTGTGCAACCACCACTGAATTCTGGAACATTCTGTCACCCTAAAAACAAGCCCCATTCCTGTTGTCACTCTCCGTCCCCTCCACCAGCCCCAGCCACTCTGAATACACTTCTGGATTGGCCTGTCCTGGACGTTTCATAGAACGGGATCCTGTCGACTGGGCAAGGTGGCCCATCCCAGCAGTTTGGGAGGCTGAAGCGGGCGGATCATGAGGTCAAGAGATCAACACTGTTGTGGCCAACATGGTGAAACCCCATCTCTACGAAAAACACAAACTTAGCCGGGTGTGGTGGCGCACGCCTGTAGTCCCAGCTACCTGGGAGGCTGAGGCAGGAGAATTGCTTGAACCCAGGAGGCTGAAGCTGCAGTGAGCCGAGATCGCGCTACTGCACTCCAGCCTGGCAACAGAGCGAGACTCCGTTTCAAAAAAAAAAACCAAAAAATTAGTCAGTTTCAAGCGATTCTCCTGCCTTAGTCTGCGGAGTAGCTAGGACTGTAGACATGCACCACCACCCAGCTAATTTTTGAATTTATAGTAGAGACAGGGTTTCACCATATTGTCCAGGATGGTCTTGATCTCTTGACCCCAGGTGATCTGCCGCTCTGGGCCTCCCAAAGTGCTGGGATTACAGGTGCGTGAGCCACCGTGACCTGCCTAATTAGCGTTCGCCATGTTGCCCGGGCTGGTCTCAAAACTCCTAACCTGAAAAGATCGGACTGTAGACGTGCACCACCACCCAGCTAATTTTTGAATTTATAGTAGAGACAGGGTTTCACCATATTGTCGAGGATGGTCTTGATCTCTTGACCCCAGGTGATCTGCCGCCCTCGGCCTCCCAAAGTGCTGGGATTACAGGCATGTGAGCCACCGTGACCTGCCTAATTTTTGTATTTTTAGTAGAGACAGCGTTTGCCATGTTGCCCGGGCTGGTCTCAAAACTCCTGACCTGAAACGATCCACCCGCCTTAGCCTCCTGAAGTGCTGGGCTGACAGGCCTGAGCCATCGTGCCTGGCGGGGTCACTTTGGAGAAATGAGATGTCCACAACAGGGCAGCTGCTGCAGAGGGGGAGTGCCTTCTGGTCTGCTGCGCCCTGGGCACTGGACACCAACCCTTGTGACAGGCAGGTGGTCATGGCAGACCCTACGATGGCTTCAGCGGCTGGCTTCTCCTTCTCCGGGTGCCCCTTCCCGTGGGCCATCTTTTCAGCTCACCTGTGGCCCACCCTCCAAGGCCTGGGCCCCTCAGAGGAATGGGGAGCCCTTGGCAGCATGGGACCATATTGTGTGATGGAGCCATCACCAGGGCCGCAAGTCACCCTGTTTGCTGCTGTAGTCTGGGCTCTATCTGTGCTACTGTCGCAGTAGTCGTCTTTCTAGAAAGCACAACTGTGACTGAGTTACAAAGCTGAATTAAGAGTGTCCTCACCGGGTCCTCCAGAGCCCTCAACTGCTGGTGACAGACTGCAGGGCGCCGTGTTCCCTTCCCCTGCTGCCCCGAGCCTGGATGTGTGGCCCCTGCAGGGTCCTGCCCCAGCACTCTTGAACCCATAGCTTCTCTCCGGGGAAGGGAGCCAGGCATACCACTTCTGTGGGGAGATGGGGAGGCCGACTCCAGGGATTCGGGTCATGTCACTGGCATTGGGGATCGGCTGACACACCTTTGTCCTCTCTGTCTCAGGGAAATTCAGTTGCTGAGGAGGTTACGGCACAAAAACGTCATCCAGCTGGTGGATGTGTTATACAACGAAGAGAAGCAGAAAATATATCCTTCCCAGCGCTGAGCTGTGGGGCCTCCGTGGGAGGGGCTGGGGGCCTCCGTGGGAGGGGCTGGGCCCTGGGTCGGCCTGCCCTAGGGCCTGTACCCCATCCCATCTCCTTGAAGGATACTGGCACACGAGGGCAGTGGCCTTCCCTGGTTCCCCGGAGGTCAGCCATTGTGGCAACAGCCCCAGTCCATGTCATGGGGCTGTGGGGGTGTCAGGGCCCTTTTTTCTCATAACCTCCTCCCAGGCTAACCAGGGGTGCAGCCTGGGCCTGTCTGAGACAACCCACACAGGCTGAGTGTTGTGAGCCATTTTGATCATGGCCAGGTGTGTCCTCGTGTCATCTGTAGATGCCCCCAGTGGGTCCTGTGGGCACAGCCTCCCTGCGGGGACTGTCCTTCCTGGGGCCCTGTGCCCAGAGCAAGAGCTAGAAGTGGTGCTGAGGCTGGGGCTGTGTTCCCCGAGCTGCAAGGCCAAGAGCCGAGGCCCGTCCTACGTGGACCCGAGCCTGCTGGTGGGGGCGTCTGGGAGGCCTTGTCCCCTGCCTGTGGGCGGGGTGGGGGAAGTGAGCCCTGCAGGAATGCTGCCCTGAGAACCCTGTCCTTCACACCTTCTCCGGCTTCCTCCTGGGACTCCAGGGCTCTGGGCCTTTGTAGAGGTGTGGCCCGGGGAGTGGCAGGGTGGGTGCGGAGGGCCCCTCCAGGGCCCCTCTGTGGCCCTGTGTTTCGGGCCTGTGGGTGGGGCCACCCCTGAGCTGTGTCCTTAGCGTCACACGTATATGGTGATGGAGTACTGTGTGTGCGGCATGCAGGAGATGCTGGACAGCGTGCCTGAGAAGCGCTTCCCGCTGTGCCAGGCCCATGGGTGTGTGCAGGGCGGGGTCGGGGGGCCAGCTCCTTTCCCTGTGCCCACATTGCTTGTCCTGATCTTCATTGATGTGAGGGCCCAAGTTTTTTTTTTTTTTTTTTTTTTTGAGACAGAGTCTCCCTCTGTCACCAGGCTGGAGCAATCTTGGCTCACTGCAACCTCCACCTCCTGAGTTCAAGCAATTGTCTCAGCCTTCCGAGTAGCTGGAATTACAGGCGCCCACTACTGTGCCAAGCTAATTTTTGTATTTTCAGTAGAGATGGGTTTCATCATCTTGGACAGGCTGGTCTTGAACTCTGACCTTGTGATCCACCTGCCTCGGCCTCCCAAAGTGCTGGGATTACAGGCGTGAGCCACCATGCCTGGCAGCCCAAGTTTTTGGAAAACAGTTTTCGTGGAAAAAAAAAAAAAATCTGAGTGGAGGATGTGGCTAAAACAAACAAACAAAAACCAGTTTTACAGGTCCCCGTTTGTGGCAACCACAGGCAAGGCTGCTGCTGGCCTCCTGCCTCCTGTTGCCTGTCCCTGGCATCCTCTTGCGCTGACCGGACTTCCTGTGTACAGGCCTGGTGGCCATAGAGTCAGGGCCCCTTGCTGCTGAAGGGCCTTAGTCGAGGGGCCTACTGTTCTAGGACTGGGGTGCAGCCTGCCTGTGGCCCAGTGGGGAAGTGAGACCTGTGGACACGTGGGGCCCTGCCAGATGTGGCTCGGCCTGAGAAGGGTGGTCGCTGCCAGCATGGGCGTGGCTCCCTGCTGGACCCAGCCTTCCGCTGTCCTGTGTGCCTGGACCCCTGTGAGTCCTCAGCTGTGCCTGTGGTGTTTGGGAGGCTCCCAGTTGGCTGCAGAGGAGAGCCTGTGACAGGCAGGGTGGCCTTGGCCCTGAGACAGGTGTGTGCTGTGCCGCCTGCAGGTACTTCTGCCAGCTGATCGACGGCCTGGAGTACCTGCACAGCCAGGGCATCGTGCACAAAGACATCAAGCCGGGGAACCTACTGCTGACCACTGGCGGCACCCTCAAGATCTCTGACCTGGGCGTGGCTGAGGTAGGCACACGCTGGGCGGGGCCCTGGGGCACCCCGTCCCGGGCACTCCCTGAGGGCTGCACGGCGTCTCCACAGGCATTGCACCCGTTTGCGGCAGACGACACCTGCCGGACCAGCCAGGGCTCCCCCGCGTTCCAGCCCCCCGAGATTGCCAATGGCCTGGACACCTTCTCTGGCTTCAAGGTGGACATCTGGTCGGCTGGGGTCACCCTGTAAGTGCCCTGGCTGCCCAGCACCCGGTACACACACAGCTCGGAGGGGCCTCTGTGTCTTGGGTATGTGCAGGCCGTCGCCATCAGCCCAGACCCTAGCTGGCCACAGCCGCTGGGGGTGCTTACTTGAGGGAGGTGTGACTCCCAGAGCATATGGTGTTTTACCATGGGAGGTGCAGCCTGGCTTGTTGGGTGTCTTCACAGTGGCACAGCCCACCCTCCTCCCAGAGCCCCACAGGGAAGCCAGCTGGGCGAGGGTGGCACCAGGCCCCTTCCCCAAGTGGGTCCAAAGGACATTCCCCTCCTGCCCTGTGGCCTCTGACGACAGAGGTGTCCCTGAGTTTGCAGGACCTGCACTCCAGCAGCCACACAAGGGCTGCGTCCCCGGGGTAGAGCTGGGACTCCCAGGGCATGGACCACTATGGCTGACCACGCCCCTCTTCCTTCCCCTCGAAACGAAGCTACAACATCACCACGGGCCTGTATCCCTTCGAAGGGGACAACATCTATAAGCTGTTTGAGAACATCGGGAAGGGGAACTACGCGATCCCAGGCGACTGTGGCCCCCCGCTCTCCGACCTGCTGAAAGGTGGGCGCCTCGCCCCTCTGCCCACAGCCCCAGGGAGGAGGGGGTTTTGTGCAGAAATGCAGGCTGGGGGTGTCAGGGGGGTGGCTGCTGGCCCCAGGGACCCTAGCAGGACATTGAGAGGACCGACTGGAGAGGCCGGCTTCCCCAAAGGTCCTCCCCGGCCCCCCCCACCTACCGCCATCACTCAGCTCCACCCTTTCTTCTGGGCCTTGTGTTCCCCCTCTAAACTCCCACCCCTGAAGGCAGTGCTGCCCTGCTCTTCCCCGGCCAGGGCCTCCGAGCTCCCTGGCCTGCTGGGCCGCCAGGCTCACCCTGCTGCACTTCCTGCGAGGGGCAGCAGGTGGCACTGGCTGCCCGTCCATCATGCAGTGGCCCCGGGAGAACGGAGCCGCTCTGGCTGTCTAGCCCAGCCCTGTGGCCCTGCCAGCCACGCACAGGCTGTCCCCAACCTGTCTCCTGGAGTGGCCTCTGTCAGGGAGGCCACCTATTCCCGGGGCCCCCCTTGGGAGCATCCAGGCGTCACCCAGGGCTTGACAGCAGAGGCTGGGCAGGTGGGGATGGTTGGCGGGGTCTCAGTCCTGTGCCTGGCACTGCCCGGCTCCTCACCTGCCTCTCCTCAGGGATGCTTGAGTATGAGCCGGCCAAGAGGTTCTCCATACGGCAGATCCGGCAGCACAGGTGAGCGGCTCCTGGGGGCAGTGGGGCCAAGGCCACAGGGAAGCTGGCCACGTGGGCAGCTGCTCGAGTGGGCACCAGAGCAGGGGTGTGATGGGGGTGTGGTGGGAGTGCCAGGCTGGGCCTAGGGCAGGACCACGTACAGTGCTCACAGCTCTCAGGGCCCGAGTGGGGTCTCCGGGCAGTGTCCCCTTGCTGGCCAGACAGGCCTTGTCTGCGCTGGGGTCTGAGTTAGGTCATGTGTCCATCCCTGCCCCAGGCCTGGAGTTGGGCCAGGAAAGGCACTGCCGGCCCGGGCACTTGGAGGGTCTCCCTTTTCCTTCCTCGCTGGGCTCTCAGCAGAAGGGTCTGGCTGGGATCCAGCCCAGGGCCCCCAGCTCCACCACAAGAAGGACAAGGTAGTGGGTGGGGCCAGCAGACCCTGCAGTGCCACCTCCTGGGCTCCGCTCCTCTGCACCAGCCCCTGGGGGTCCTTGAATCTTCTGCTAAAGCCTCTTAGAGCTCCTCAGCCACCCCGCAAGGCCCTCTCCTGAGGGTGTTTGGACCCCTGATGTGCTGGTGCTGATTGTGCCTGGGGCATCTCGGGGCAGCTGGGAGCCTGGTGGGGGCTGGGGCTGCCCTCCAATAGCCTCCTGGGCTGGATGTGCTCACGGCCCCCAGACTCCCTTCTGGCCTTTGCTGACATGTATCTGGTGGGTGCCCTGGCTTCTGAATGCCACCCGGGAGACAGGTCTGAAGCTGAAACGGGGCAGGGGGGTCAGGTCTTGGGGTGCAGGGCATATCTGTCAGGTTTGGAGTGAGGTCAGAGCTGTGGCCTGAGACCCTGGCAGCCAGGCTGCTCCAGGAGGGCTTAGCTGAGCTGCTGTGGTCACGGCCACCCGTTGCATAGCCTGGTCCCAGCTCCTAGGAGCGGGGTTGGGCAGCTGGACTGCCCTGTGCCAGCCTGACAAGTGCCACTGCTTTTGGGCATTTGCAGCTGGTTCCGGAAGAAACACCCACCAGCGGAGGCGCCGGTGCCCATCCCGCCGAGCCCAGACACCAAGGACCGGTGGCGCAGCATGACCGTGGTGCCGTACCTGGAAGACCTGCATGGTGCGGACGAGGACGAGGACCTATTTGACATCGAGGACGACATCATCTACACTCAGGACTTCACGGTGCCCGGTGAGTCCCACTGGAGCAGGGCGCCTGCCTGTCTGCGGTGAGGGCAGGTTCTGCCCTCCGGTGGCCAATCCATGTCCCCGAAGCCCCCAGCCCACCTGGAGGCTGTCTCTGCCCTGGGGGCTGCTGCCACATGGCTGAAAGTGTGGGGGTGGCAGGGGCACCGGCCAAGGCCTGTCTGGCTGGGAGGGTTCCTCAGGCTCCTCCCCTGGTGCTGCCCAGCCAGGCACTCCTGGGGTACACTGAGTGCGGCCTCAGCCTGAGTTCCAATAGGAGCAGGCGGGGGAGGCCTGTGGTCAGGGGAGGGTGTGTCAGAGTCAGGGTGCAGGGTGGCCCCTCAGCTGGCACGAGAGAGGGTCCAGTGGCCCTCCCTCCTTCCGTCCCCAAGGCCCACCCACTGGGCCTGACGCTGGCCGCCCTTCTTCCCCAGGTGGCGAGGAGGCGTCTGAGGCAGGGCTTAGAGCGGAGCGCGGCTTGCGGAAGAACGAGGGCTCAGACCTTTGAGGAGAGGAAGCCTCGCGGCCGGCGCTGCAGTCGTGCCCGAGGAGGAGCTCAGGGCCTTAGCACAGGGTGGCTGTGTTGGCAGCCAGCCCCTCCCTGCTGCGCTCCTGGCTCGGCTCTGCGCTATGCGGGGCTGGGCCGTGTCATAAAGCATTTTGCATGTATCTGCAGGTGGATGTTGCTGTGCCTGGGCTGGAGTGTGGGGGGCTTTATCTTTTACTATTGCAGCAGGACGTGGTGGGCAGCGTCCAGCCTGAGAAGGCGAGTGTGCCAGGCAGGTTAAGATGTGAGGACCCAGTGCACAGGATCCGTCTCCCAGCGAGGGGGCCCTCAGTCTGCCTTCCTACGTAGAGATCCTCACCCTGCAGAGAGCCCTCCATCAGCTCCCGCAGCATCCCAGGGACCCTCAGCAAACCACTAGGCTCAGTTCAGTAGCTAGTCCTGGGAGGGTGCAGTGTGCGGGCGGGGGAGGGGGGCCAGGAGGGCACAGTGTGTGGGGGGGCCCCCGGGGGCACAGGGTTTCGCCTCCTGGGCTCTTGTAGTTGCAGCACCACGGCTGTTGTGTCTGTTAGGATGGGAGGTGCTGCTGGGCACCCTGGTCACCAGATGTCCTGGGAGGTGGGGTCCCCTCATGATGCCCATCCATGAGCCTGGCTGCAATTTGACCCCAGGCCCAGGGCCTTCTGCCTTTCAGAGAACTGGGGCCCCGAGACTGGCAGTCAGGCAGATACTAGTCAGGAGGGCCAATTAGGGCAGGGCCAGGTTGCCAGAGCCCCTGCTGGGATGTGGACCACATGCTGACCCTGTGGCCGCTCCTGCAGGCCAGGACCCAGCACTGGCTTCCCCCTGGGGAGCCCTAGGCCTGTGGGAGATCTGGGCTGCCCTGGGGCAAGGTGCCAGGGAGGAAGGCAGGGGCTGGGCCTCCTTCTTCGTGACCCTGCCGAGCCCACTGTGGGTGGTAGGAAGGAGCACCCAGCCGCAAGGGCTGCAGGGACTGCTCAGTGTAGCTGAGGCCTCAGCACTCAGTACTGGGTACTCAGGTGAATACTCCTCCCACTGCTGAGATGCTTGGGACAAGCTCAGCCTGAGACTTCAGTGGGAGCCACATCCCCGACCTGCGGGGCCCCGTCCTGCACACACAGCCTGGGCTGCTGCGTCAGCCCCTGCGAGGCTCCCCTTTGGCCTCGTCCGTCCTTACTCACTATGGACGTCCTGCTGCCAACAACCAGAGCCCAGCGAGGGGCCTTGGGCTAGGTCCTGGGCCCCAGTGCAGACGGGTATAGGGTGGAATGAGGGACTGATGGCCCCAGTGATTGTGGGGGCAGGGGCCTGGTGGCGGCTCTGCCCACTGATGCAGGGCTGGGGCGCCTTGTCTACCCTGGCATGCCGATGGGAGTGGGCGCAGGGTCTGCCCCAGCAGAGACAGGCTGGGCGCAAGGTCAGACTTGGGGGTGCGGTTGGGCCTCCTCACCAAGGTGCCTTTTGAAAGCCAGCAGCTTCCTATGCACACAGGGCGAGCGTGCGGCAAGTTCTGCAGGCTGCTGAGTCAGCCACTGGCCCCTGCTTGGAGCTGGGTCCCGCACTGGGCTCATGAACTCCAGGGCAGCCCAGGGCAGCGTTCCACAGACTGCCTGGGAGGGTCTGGGGTTGGCTTGGCAGCCAGCATGTTGGTGGAGTCCTCGCCGAACACCATGGCTCCTGGCGGGGATGGCACGTGGGCCCCACCCCCGTTGTGAGGACAGTGTCCACCTGGCCAGGGTGGCCAGCACCAAGCCCGTGGGTTCCACCCGAGTGCCAGTGATGGCTGGGGGTTGGCAGGGACTGGGGGCAGCTGGGGGCCCTGGCAGGCTGTGCTGGCGTCTCGAATGCTGGTCCAAGCCTGGCCCTCTTGTGTCTCACAGGTGAGCTCGGGGTGGCTCTTGTGCCTTTAGAGCCAATGGGCCAGGGCGGCACAGGAGGGTCCTGCCCCCTCAGCTTGCCTCCTCCTCAGGATAGTACCTGCGTGGGTTCTGACCTGGGGCCCTGGCAGGTGCAGACGATGGGGTGGGGGGTGCCACTCTTGCCTGGGCCATCTGTGGGAGGTCCAGTCCCAGGTGCGGGGGACCTCCCAGAGCTGCTGGGGCAGCATTTCAGGCTGGGGACACCTGGTCCTGACCTGTTGGGCATGGCCTGGGCCACTGCTGCAAGGGCAGCCCTGTGCTGGGACCTGCCAGGCCCCCGGGGCTCTGCGGGGTCTGCCCCTGGCTCAGCCCACGTTTGCCGTCTCCCTCCCAGGACAGGTCCCAGAAGAGGAGGCCAGTCAGAACGGACAGAGCCGGGGCCTGCCCAAAGCCGTGTGCATGAACGGCACGGAGGCGGCGCAGCTGAGCACCAGGTCCAAGGCGGAGGGCAGGGCCCCCAACCCCGCCCGCAAGGCCTGCTCCGCCAGCAGCAAGATCCGCCGGCTGTCGGCCTGCAAGCAGCAGTGAGGGTGGCCGCCTGCAGGTGGGGCGCGGTGGGGCCCGCGTGGTCGTGTGGGGACACAGTTCGTGGCGGTCATGGCGACTGTCACGCTCCAGGCTGCACCTGGTTGCCGTGTGGCGTTTGGGTGGCTTGTCCACATAGCAGTCCCTGTTGAGAGTGGCGTCTCGGGGCCTGGTCTCTGGCCTGTGTTGGTCACAGAGGCCTGTGTGTGGCCGGGCTCCGAGGGGGTCATGCCATCCTCACAGCCACCTCTCAGAGTGGGTGCATTCAGAAGACCCTGCCCTGAGCCTGGTGCCTCCTACCCATGCCCAGGCTGTTCCCAGGAAAGGCCTACGCTGGCCTCAGCCCAAGGCTTCCGAGGCATGAGTGGGTGGCGGGTGGTGGGGAGGGGCTGTGGCTCTCATGGTCCTGCCTGGCTGCCGCGGCCAGACGCGGCCTTCTATGTCCCTGTGCCCCTGCCCCTCTCCTGGCCCCAGCCCAGGGTGGGAGACCCTGTCGCCTGCTGAGGATGGGGGGTGGATGGGGACCTCAGGCTTAAAAGCCTCTGCCCTGCCACAGTCTGTCCGGCAGGTTTAGGGGCCACCGCCTGAGTCACATGTCTGTCTCCTAAACGGGTGACCCCAGCCCATCCGTCAGCATCAGAGCCCGCCAGGCCTGGTGGGAAGTTCTTTCCGGGGAGGTCCAGGCCCCACTGCGAGAGGCCGCACTCAGTGTGCCCCAGGAGCGACTCAGGGGTGGCCTTCTCTGGCTGTGCCCCCAGGAGTCCGGCAGCCGCCGTGACTGCACCTGTTTCTCCGTCCCGCGAGGGGCCCGTATGAGGCAGAGAATCGGTGCCCGGGCTGACCTGTGCCCCTCCTCCCTGCAGCCCGTGTCCAGGTGCCCGCGCCAGGCCCTCCTCCCGGAGAGGCGGCCGCCGTTCCGTGCCGACTGCGCCCCAGGACCTCAGGAGCCCCTGCAGGGCCGGCGGGAGGATCGCAGGGCCCGGGCGCAGCTGCTCGACCCGGCCCCGGGCGGGTGAGGGAGGCGGCAGGCGGCCCCGATGCACTTTACGTGGAGAGATTGCCGGCCCCGCCGCGCCCGAGCCCCGCAGACCGGCGCCCCGGAGCCCCGCCTGCCCGCCATGCATGCCGCGCCGCCCGGGGGCCGCGGACGCCGCTCGGTTTTGTTGTTTGGTTGGTTCCTTTTTTTTTTTTTTTTTTTTTTTTTAGAAAAAAAAAAATAAAAGGTGGATTTGAGCTGCGTCTGTGAGGGATGCGTGGGGGCGGCGGGGGCGTGGGTGGGGCTCGGTCGCCCCGCTTCGGCCTCGGCAGGCCCCGCCTCCCCACGGCACGCGCCCTCAGGACCCGAGAGAAAGGCGAGCACGCGGGAGTACGCGGTCAGCGTTTATCGTCAACCGGAAACAGACGGGCAGCGCCGCGGGACGGTGCGGACGCAGCGGGGCTGGGCCTGGGGCGCCGCCGCCCACATTTGGCAATAAATAAAGCTCGGGGGGCGAGGGCCGGGCCGCGTGGGTTCTGTCCGCGTCTCTACTCGGGCGGGGCGGCGGGGCGGACGCCGTTCACATGCGGAGGGCGGCGGGGACTCTGGGCGCGGGAGGCCGGCGGCGGCGCGGTTATTGCTCGGAGGGGGAGCGGGCTGCCGCCGGCACACGCCGCGGTGAGGTAAACGGGCTAGGGGGCGGCCGTCGCGGCGTTGGGGCGCCTCCCGGCCCCGGCCGGCGTCCTGGCTGCGACCCTCCGCGCCCCGCGTCCCCAACCGGGGCGAGCTCGGACACGCGATCGGCACGCGGCGGCTCCGTCGGGCCCGGTGGGCTGCGCGTCCCGGAAGTGGCCGCCCGTCCGGGACTGAGGGTGGCTGGGCGTGATCCTCAGGAGCCCGAAGCTGAAAGCGGCTCACGCCCCTTCCTTCCTGCCCAGCCGGGGGCTCCGCGCCCCGCGCCCCGCGCCCCGCGCCGCCCGGCAAGCGCCGAAGAGAACAGTGCGCGTGCGCACTTCGACGGCGCGAGAGCGGCTGGGGCCCTGCGCGTGCGCCCTGAAGCGGCGAGCGCGTCTCCGTCGCCCAGCGCGTGCGCGAAGGGCCCGCGGTCCCAGCGCATGCGCGTCGGGGCGTCGCGTCCCCGCGTCTCTCCTGCCGCCGAGGCCCCGCGCGGCGCCGGAGAAGCTGCCAGAGAGGTGGGCCCAGGACGCGGGACTTAGGCCGGGCTGTGGTGGGGGGACGTGGGGGCGGCGGCGACCAAGGCGGGAGCCGCCACGACGGGCTCGGCGAGGCGCGGCGGAAAGAGTCTCTCGTCCAGGCCGGCCGCCAGCTTGTCCAGCAGCGCCCCCGGGGGCGCGACGCACAGGCCGGACCCGGGGCAGCCCCCGCCGCCCGGCTCCTCCTCGATGACGGGGATAGCGGGGTCGTCGACGGCGCCGCCCGGGCCGCGGCCGTCGGGCGGGCCGTCCACGCTGTCGCCGCGGCGTAGGGGCGCACGCGCGGGCCGGGCCGCGCCGGCGGGCGGGACGGGGGGCGGGACGGCCCGGGCGCCGGGGTCGCTGTGCTGCCGGCCGCGCTGCCACTGCTTGCGGGCGTGCGGGTGTGCGCGTGCGCGGTGGCGCGCGGCGGCTGGCGCGTCGTCGAAGTGCGGGTCGTGGCGCAGGAACTCGTGGAACAGCGCGTCCGTCTTCTCGTCGATGCTGTAGTCGCGGCGCGGGCGGCGGGGCCAGGCGCGCGGGCTGCGGGGCGGGGCGGGCGGCTCGGGGTCGTCGCCGGCGCCGCGGCCCTCGATGCTGGCGTAGCCGCTGTCCATCTGCAGCAGCCGGCGCGCCTCGCCGTCCTTGGGTCGGGGCGCGGGCGGGGAGGGCGGCGGGAAGGCGGGCGCCCCGCCCCCGGAGCCCGAGCCCGAGCTGTCGCCGCTCCGCACCGAGTCGCGGTCGTTGCCGCTGCTGCTGTGGTCCGAGGCGGCCGCGTGCAGCTCGAGCGAGGCGCGCAGGTTCCACAGGTCGCGGTAGCTGGTCTGGGCTTGCTCGGGGCCGCCATCGCGCTCGGCGTCCAGCTCCGGTGGCGGCGGCGGCTGCTCAGGCCCCCCGCCGCCCGCGCCGCGCTCCAGGGGGGACTCGGGGCTCGCTCCTCCCGCTGCTGCCTCGGCCGCCTCTAGCCTGCAAGCCAGGCCCTGCCGTCAGAGCCCCACCGAGCCCTTGGCCCCCCTCCGTGGCCGGCCACCCTGCCTCTGGATCGGGGAGGGTGGGCGCGGGGACGCGGGGGGGGGGCTGGGACTCGGGAAGACCCTGGAAGGCGAGAGCTTTAAAATGGGTTGGTGTGTTTTGCAGGGGACGGGTCTTGCATTGACGCTGAGCTCTGACGCTTGCGTTTCAACACCGGGTGCTTCCGCGCTCTACTGCGGCCGGCAGGGCCCCTCTCTTGGAAGCCCCAGGACGGGTCAACACGCTTCTCCTCGGAGTCACCTTTTGCCCCCCTCCCAGTGGACCCGGTTGAGTCCAGCTCAGCCCCTGTTCCAAGCTAGCTAGCGCGCTCCGCCCACCCATCCTTAGTAACTAGCAGGAGGATGCACAGATGTGAGGTCACCCCCCAGACCAGGGGTGTCCCAGGAACCCTGCTCTGCCCCATGCCCCATTCCCCATTTCAATCCGACTCACTGGGCCCTGGGCTTCTGGAAAATTACCTTGGGTTGGGGGAGGGGTGCTGCTGGCCAGAGGGGTCATAGCAGCTTCTGGAAAGGGATCGCCCAGCCCTCGGGAGCATGAGGGGTGGGAGAGGGCCTGGGACCACAGCAGAGCCCTTCAGGCCCGGGGCTCCACCAGGAAGTGGCAGTACCAGCCCAGGCAGATACCCCGAGGTGTTACTGCCTGTGGCCATCAGCGGGGCCCCACGTACCCCGCTACCCTTACCCAGTCTCTCCCCGCTTCCCTCCTCTGGTCCATGCTGGAGAGGTGGCCCCAATGAGTCGGCCTCTGGGAGGGGCCTTGCCGCTGGAGGCGGGCGAGCCCGGGTCCACGGGATCTGGAGAGCGCTCCCTGGGCCGCCTGGGAGGGGCAAATCGGGGCAAGGGCCCACAGGTCCACCCCTAGCACCTCTATCTACTGAAAAATACCTGCCGAGAGCAGGGGGCGGGCTGGTGGGGCTGGCCAGAAAGGGGCGGGGGGGCGGGAAGGCCACAGTGTCACCAGCCCGGGCGATGTACTGGATGAAGTCCACGTGGGGGGAGCCCGCCGCCTCCTGCTCCATGCTCTCACTGGCTGCCCGCTGCCGCTGGAAGTGATGCCGTTTGGGCGAACCTGTGTGGGAGATGTGCCGTCAGCCTGTGTGCCCCCCCACAGCCTACCTGTGTCCCCTACACACGCCTGCCCTCTATCTCACACACACACACAGTGGGCCCTGACTGGGGCCAGATTCTGGCCCGTGGGTGCGCGCGCGCGCGCACACGCACACAGTGGTCCCTGACTGGGGCCACCAGGTGGGTGTGGACAGTGGATGTAGGTACACTCTGGAGTACTGGTGAAACCAAAACACAGAGGGCAGAGGTGCTAGAACCAGAGAGCCTGGGATGAGGGCAGGGCCAGGAAGTGAGTGGAAGGGCCTCAGGCAGTGGTAGTGCCCCCGGGCAGCCCTGGTGGACCTGTGACTACTGATAAGGACCCGTGCCAGACACCTGGTGGCTGGCACTGCCTGGCTCAAGGCACAGAAGGCAGGAGAGAGGCACATACAGGGTGGTGAGGGCCAATGAGGAGAGGGACAGAGGTGCCCTTTCCTGGCAGCTCCACCCAGGCCTGGGGTGCTGGGGGCCTGCTCCACCTCAGCCCCCTTCTCCCCACAGCCTCAGCAGGCAGGCCCCAAGGGCAGCGAGGTGGTTACTCAGCAGCTTCTGGGCTGTGCTTGAAAGACATTGGACCCTAATCACCATCATGGCCCCATTCCTCTCAGGATTGCCTTCTCAGCTGCAACTGTGCAGCCAGAGGTCCCTTCCCTGGCTGCTAGCTACCTTGGGGCTTGGGGGCTGGGAGAGCTCACCCCATCCTGCTGGCTGGAGCCAGGCCCCAACATAGGGTCTCCCACTGTCTGAGGACTGCACTTGTCCCCTGTCCCAGTCTCACCTGATGACAGGAAGTGCCACCCCCTCCACAGGGCAGAGCAGGGTCCTGGCCCCTCCAGGCTGCCCTAGCTCTGCTAAACCCACTGAGCAGGGATGGTGCCTGCTGCCAGCACCACAGACGGGACCCCTCTGCTGCCTGCACACACTCCTGCCTCAACTCCAGATAAGGCAGCCCTGTCTCCAGAACCCCGTGTGACCCGGAGCCTGCAGAATTGAAGGGCTGCTGTTAACTAGTCCAGGGGTCTGCACAATACAGCCCAGAGGGTGAATCTGCCCGCCACATGCATTTCTCACAAAGTGCCTCTGGCTTCCTCGCCACCGTGGCAGCACTGAGTCGTGGAGACAGCCTATCTGAACACAGCACAGTGAATACTACCATCCCAGGGCTGATGGGAAATGTTTGCTGACCCCTGGCCCAGTCCAACTCTGTTGCTTTGTGTCACAGAAAGCGAGAGCCCAGATGGGCGGAGAGCCTTGGCCAAGGTCGCACAGCCGCTGGAGTGGCCAGCAGGTGAGGACGGGACCCCTGGAGAACCCACCTTGCGCTCACATCCCCAGGCAGCGGGATGAGAGCTCAGCATGGCCGGGAGAGGGTGCAAGCTGCAGGCCCCACACTCTGGGCTCCACAGTGAGCAGGTGGCCCCCTAAAATCCTACTTTACCACCTCGTCCTGGATGCCCCAATAACCCAAGAGCAGCGGGGGGCATGCAAGGCCCACCAGCACAGGGCAGAGCTAGGGGGTGGTCTGGCTCCGGCCACCTGCACACACAGCCCTCCCGCCACCCAAAGAACCTCAAGCAGGATGTCGGCTGGCAGACTGGGCAGGGCCAGGCTCCCCACCCAGACTCCAGATAAGGCAGCCCTGGGCCACAACCTCCTGTTCCTGGCTGTCCAGGGCAGCCTCTGGCAGCCACCACCAAGCCTGACAGGGCCACTCTCCACCAGGTGCTGTAGCTTACCTCTTGTGTCCAGACTGGCCGCCCGATGGCTGGGCTCTAGCTTCCACTTCTTGACCTTGAAGTAGGGGCTGGCCCCGTCCAGGCTGGCATGGCGGCGCAGGCGGGTGAGGAACTGCAGCACGGTGCCCGCCCCAGAGCCTGCGCCTGCCTCCCCGGGCCCGGCCGCAGCCCCAGGTCCTCCAGCCGTGGTGCTCCTGGTATCCGCATCCAACTGGCAGGAAACAGAGATGGCACTCAGGCTAGAAGGCCTCTCCCTGGCCCCACGTGCCAGCCCCAAACGGTCCTAGGCCTGGGAGACAGTCCCAAAGGCCCCCCATCACTGGGATGGAGATGGGGACCTGCTCGGAGAGGGGCAGAGGCGGGAGGAGGGGGTCTTAGCGGCCGGGTGGGTACACGAGGGCTCTCCCCTCTGGGGAAGGTCCCTGGACCTGTGGTTTGGAGAGAAGGGGAGGTGCATGTCTAGGAGCCCTCTCACCCATGCCCTGGGCTGCAGGTAAGGGTGGGCAGGGGTGGTGCACCCTCTCCAGTGCCTGGGGAGTCTAAAATGAGGTGGGAGCCTGGAGTGCCCCCTGCATGTGTGAGCACACGCCTGTGTCCAGTGTGTGGCCGGGTTTTATGTTTGGTTACCTTTGTGTGGTTACCCAGCCGGCCAAGGAGGGCCCTGATGGGTGGGAGATGATGAGCTGATCTTTGTCCGGGATCAGGGCAAGGGAGGGGAAGCAGCCTCCCAGGCTGTGGACACCGTGGGGGGACACGCAGGGGCCCTCACCGAGGTGCCTTCCCCAGAGTCGCTAGATGCCAAGGGGCTGATCTCTGCGAAGTCAGTGGCGCCCGCGGCTGAGTTGTAGGGGTCACCTGGCAGGGCGGAGCTGGGGCCCACGGAGCGGCCTGTGAGGGCCTTCCCCGGGGGCTGTGGGACAGAGCCAGGTGGGGGAGGAAGCAGTGACAGATCAAAGAGCATGGTGGGTGAGGGGCATGCTGGGCTCCGCCCCCTTCCCTGCTCCACCCCCTTCCCTGCTCCACCCCACAGGGCACCCCCTACCATCCCAAGATGAGGGCCACCCAGAAAGAGTGGGGAAGGGTGTGGGGGTCTGGGAGTCCCTGGGGCTGCCCCCCCACCCCAGGAACTTTGCTGGCTGCCGCCATAGGCTCACCTGGAAAATGGCCAGGGTGGCCTTGGGAGAGGTGGCTGGGTGGGGTGTGGCGGCCGAGCTGGCCTCTCCAGAGTCACACTCGTGGATGGTGACAATCTTGAGGGGCGGCAGATGCAGGTGGGTGAGGCGGGCATTCTTCAGGTGGTGGAAGTCCCCTTCCGTCAGTGTGTACCTGCGACAGCACCTGGTCATCAGTACCTGCCCACATCCCATGCCTGATGCCCCACCTGCCGAGCTCTGCTGTCCGCCCTGCCAGCTTGGGCAGGAGCAGGCAAAGTGGGGCACCTGGCTGAGTCCCCCATCCCATGGTCCCAGTCCAGGGGCCTCTGCCTTGGTCCCTGAAGCGTCTGTGCCCAGCTCCTCCCCATGCCCAAGCACCGGCGACCTCAGACACGTCTTGGGCTCCTGCCCCCCTCACCGGCGGCCCTTGTCCTGTGCCTTGCGGCTCTGCTCAAACAGCGCTGCCTCGTTGAAGGAGACCCGGCGGCCCGTGGAGCTGGTGGACAGGAAGCGCTCCGTCTCCGCATCCTGGCCCTCGGGGTCTTCCCCCCGGAAGTAGGGGTCTGCGTGGAAAGGCAAGAGAGAGTGGGCCCCAGGTGTGCCGTGCCAGGCGCCTGGCCCCAGGAGGGATGCTCGGCAGGGTGGGGCGGGGAGGGCGGGGGCCGCGCGCCGGCGGCCGGGGGGCGGGGCGAGGGCACTCGTTCATCCGCTCACACACTCACTCGCTCAGCACGCGCCTGGGCCCACCTACGCCTGGGTGTTAAGGAAACAGAGATGAGTCGGAATCGAGCTGCGCCCAGTCTGGTGGGGGAGACAGACAGACACAGACGGTCAGGCAGCCCGAGGGGCGGCGGGTGGCCGAGGGGCGGATGGACAAATGGGTGCAAGGCTGGGCTGGCCAGTGCCTCACCTTGGGCCGGGTGGGTGCCATTGTCCAGATAGGTGGTGGCGGTCTTCTCTGCTTCCTCCATGGCCCTGGGAGGGACATCAGGAGAGCCCAGTGGCACCAAGGGACCAGACAGCTGCAGTGGGTCTGGGCTCTCTGCCCCACACCAAGGCCCTGTGCATGATCCCCTGTCTCCAGAGGCATGGACCATCCTGTGGCTCAGAAGCCAGTGAGGTAGGCCCTCTCCCCCCCCCGGGTGGCACCCACACCCACCATGCACCAGCCCAGCCAAGGTGGGGGCCTCGCACCTGTTGAGGCGCTGGTGGACGTCCCAGCAGCGCTTGCAGAGAAGCAGGACGCCGGACAGCACCACCAGCGTGCCCCCCACAAACAGCGACATCACCACCACCAGCAGCACATAGTTGTCCAGGATAGGGTCTGGCTCTGCCTGTGAGCGTGCAGGGGGGTCAGGTGCTGCTGGCCTGAACGACCTCCCACCCCTCCTGCCCATCCGTCTCCTGCACCCACCGTGGGGGGTCCAGTGCTGTTGTCCCACGACGTTGTTAGGGCTACTGTGGCAGAGGTGGTGGTGGCAGCGGCCGTGGCCATGGTGGCTGTGGGCTGCATTCTGAGCTGGGAAGGACGGCCCTGCGGGGAGGAGGCCTGGTCAGCTCCAGCTAGGCCTGCTGCTCCTGCAGGAGCCACTGCAAACGAGCCAGGGAGCCAGAGCCCACACAGGGGGCAGTGACTCATGGAGAGGCCGCCTCCACCCGACTTGGCTCCGCCCGGCGAGTCTGGGGGACTCTCTCTGGACCTCCATCTCCCATCTGCCCGGCAGGGGAGGCAGCCCCGGCCTCTGAGGGTGTGCCTGTGCCCATCGCAACTGCACACAGCCGGCGCGGCCTGTCCTGCAAGGCAGCGCCAGGCTCCAGAGCTCCGCACCGAGAAGGGCAAGCATGTCTCCGAAGAATGGAGACACCGAGGCCGTGCATCGGGCTCGGGAGGGACCCCAGGCGCCCTGTCAGCCCCATTCACGGGGCCAGGCTGCCACCCCAGCCCCAAGAAGTGCAGCTACACACTGGCTTGGCCCGCTGGGCCATGGTTTGTAGTGGGAGCCCTCCCGCCGTCCCGCGCGGGGGAGGGCACAGCGGCTGGGCACAGGTCACGACTCCGGAAGGTGGAGGTCCCCCGGTGCTGAGCCCTGGTGGGAGTGCAAGGGACAAAGGAGTCGCATCTGTTCCCAGCCCCGGAGAGGCTGGTTCCCATGGCGACCGCGGAGCAGGCCGCGGCTGGAGCGGGGGTGCAGGTTGCCAAGGAGCGGCGGGGAGGGGGCGCGGGGGCGGCGGCCTGGTGGGGGGCGGGCGCGGAGCCGCAAGATGGCCGCGGCCGCCACCCCGCCGTGCCCAGCATCCCAGGGCCTCTCCGGCCGCCTCCAGTCAGCCTTACGCTCGGGGGAAACTGAGGCGGGGCGCGGCACCAGGAAAAGGAGCTGCCCGAACATTGCGCCGCGCAGCCGGGCGGGAAGGGCCGGGGCTGGCGCCGGGATCCCTGGCGGCCCCAGGTCGGCACCGCACGCACGAGGCCTCTCCCGGAGCCAGAGAGCACAGGCGGCGGCCGCCCGAGCCCCTCCTAGGCTTCCGCCCACGCGCGGCAGCGGAGAAACTGAGGCCCAAAGCGGGCGCCACTGTCCTCAGCGCTCCGGGTCACAGGCTGCCGGAGCCTTGGTATTGGGGGAAGGGGCAGCATATGTAGGTCGAGAAATTAGTTCAGGCTGGAGGGGGTGGAGCACAGGCGCAGGATGGGGACCCGAGGCCAGAGAAGATGGCAGGGGACCGAGGGGAAGAGGCTCCTGGCGGAGGCGGCTGCGGGAGCCGAGGGCGGATGTTCCCCACTGGGCAGCACCGCGCCTCGGAGCCGGCCGAGGGGCGGGGATGGCGAACGAGGGAGGCAGGGACCCGACGCCATCGCCCTGCCCCGACTCACGGGGGGAAACTGAGGCCGGGGTGGGGCCTGGGCGGGGGTCCGTCTCCAGATAGTTGGGTGGCAGCAGCAAGGCCCACAGCCTGGTCCCCACGCCCGCTGGACTCCTCCGCGCCCTCCCTCCGGCCGCGCAGCCGCCCGGGGCACGGCCGGTGGTCCAGACCCCGGGCGAACCCCAAGCGGCCGCGATCCCGGGCCCGCCCCTGTCCGTCCCCCGCAGCCCCGAGCCCGCCGCGCCTACCTCAGCGCCGGGACGCGCGGCCCATGGGCGGCGGGCAGGCGGGCGGCTGCGCGGCGCTCCCGGCTGGCTCCGGCGCCCGGTGGCCGCGGAGCAGACGGAGAATTTATGAATGGAGAGCTCGGCGCGGGGGAGGCCGGCGCGAGAGGAGGGGCCGCGCACGTGACCGCGTTGGCGGCGCGCCCGCTCCGCGCGCCCGGTGCTGCCCGGTCCCCGGCCGGCCGCCCCCGCTGCGCTCGCCGCTGGGTCTGGCTGGCTCCGCGCCGGCCCCCGCCTTCCCTTCCCTTCCGGCGGGGGCGGAGGGCGGAGCCTGCGCTCCTGCGCGCCCACTCCGCACGCGGAGCCGCCCCCCGCACCCGCCGCGGCGGCCGAGCCCCGCCCCCAGCTCCCCCCTTCCCGCACGACTCGCCTCGCTCGGTCCTGGGGTCGGGGACGGTCCCAGGGACGCAGCTTGGGGTGTCCTGGAGTGCATGACTCCCTAAGGCCCGAGGTGCGCCGCGTGCGCGGTAGGGGGTGAGGTCCGGGGATGCACGGCCGCCCCGCTCCCGTCGCTTGGTCCGTGGGGGTTCTGGGGCGGCACAGCCAGGGCCCCTCGAGCACATCTGCCCCGTTCGGCTTACAGCCGAGGGTCCCTGGGCACGGGCGCCCCCGCCTGCTTCTCCTCTCTGGCAATGCGGAGGGCTCGCCATGCCCCTCTGATCCCTCCCCTATGTGACAGCGATCGAAGACCGGCTCAAAGCTGAACAGAGCCCATCGGGGCCCACACGTGCACCCACAGAGGCCTGGTTCTCTGGGGTGACATCAGAACGACACCAGCAGAAACCCAAGTCCCAGGGCTGCCCCAGCGTCTCCCTCTGACCATCGAGCCTCACCCTTCAGGTACTCAGGCCGTACACCTGCCAGCAGCCTGCCCCGAACGCCACCCCAGCCCGGCTGGGCCCTCGCCTAACACCCCACAGCGCCTCCTCTTACTCATCCCCAAAAAGGGTGACACCGCTCCCGGACGCCTCTGCCCTTCCAGGTACCCGGTACCCAGGCCTCCTTGTCCATTCAGCCAAAGATTCACCCCGGTTTCCTTCGACTCCTTCCGCAGCGTCACAGTCTTGGCCCCCAGCCCGCGCCCCGCCGCCCTCCTCTGCTGTGCCTCTCCGAGGCCCCACGCCTTGCGCCTTGCCTGTTCCTGTGTACTGTGGGGCCCCCACTCACTCCGCTGTGAACTCGGAGGGCGCTGGCCCTCGAGGCAGAGGGGCAGCCCCGGGGAAACCGGCCATCGTGCACCTGGGAATTGCATGGGCAAGGTCTCCAGGCAGAAAAGTTTGCAGGTCACCGCCTGTGCAGGAAGCAGGGAAACCGTCTTTGTTCCCTGCTCGGGCATTCCAGGGATATTCCTGCCGCAGCCCGGAAAATAGTTGGGACTACAGGCGTGGGCCAACAGGCCCAGCTACCTTTTGTATTTTTTGTAGAGATGCAGTCTTGCTGTGTTGCCCCGGCTCGTCTCAAACTCCGGGGCTCAGGAGATCCTCCTGCCTCAGTCTCCCATTGTTGGGACTACAGGCGTGAGCACCCAAACCCCACCAGGTTTCAGATTTTTAATAAAAGACTCCCTGTGGCTGTGTGAAGAAAAGGTACCCGTACTAAACAGGGGTGTGCGGGGGCCATGCTGAGTGGACAGGCCCCAAACTCCTGACCTCAGATGATCCGCCCGCCTCGGCCTCCCAAAGTGCTGGGATTACAGGCGTGAGCCACCGCGCCTAGCCTGGAGCTGCTAACTGATGATGTCAAATGTCCGGTTAACGACCCCCGGCCCCAGGAAAGGATTTTCGCTCTGTTGCCCAGGCCGCAGTGCAGTGATGCGATCGTGGCTGGCTGCAGCATCAGCCTTCTCAGGCTCAAGCGATGCTCCCGCCCAGCTCCCTGAGTAGCTGGGACCACAGGCGTGCACCACCAGAGGAACCCCAGGTTTGGGGCTGGAGTAATAATGGCGGTGCCCTCAGCTGTGGGCTACCCTGGAAGTGGGGACTGGAGCGAGGTGGTCCCACGAATGAGAATGAGTCTATTAGGCCTCCCAGTTTCCTGCAGCAGCAGCTGGATATAGGGTCCCGAGTGCCAGGAGCGGATGTGGTGTTTGCAGGTCACGCCTAGAAAAGTGAGCAGGGCTTCCCTCTGCACCCCCGAGCCAGGGCCACAATGCCCAGGCCCCAAGTGACCCTCACAGCGCTCGCTCGGGGAGCAGACCCAAGCCTTCATCCAGAGTCGGACCGGCCTCCTTCAGGTTCCCGGATTCCAGGGGACAGGGGCACCGGCACTGGCCTGAACCCGGGAAGGGGGCGAGGGTGCAGACTCCGGGTGTGGGGAGCCACGGATGGTGTCAGACCCCCACAGCAGGATGTACCGTGTCCTCCTGGCTGCAGCCCCGTAAAGTCACAAGCCCCAGTCCCGCCCCTGTTCCCTGCACCCTTGGGGCCCAGCCCACCGAGCCAGGCTCAAGGCCCTAACCAGGGAGCCCGAGACCCCCAGCCCCCGCCACCCTCGACTCCGCGTTTTCCCCGAGCTTCAGGAGAGGGGGCTGGGGGCCCGGCCGGGTGCTGCGGACCTGCGTGAGCGCGGGGGCGGGGCGGTGACGTCATGGCCACGAGCGAGGCTGCGCAGGCCGCTGGCTGACGACAGCGAAGCCCCGAGCCGCCCGCGCACGCGCTCCTGCGTCAGCGGCGCGTGGGGGCGAAGGCCGGGCGGGAGGTGGGGGACGGCGAGCGCATCTCCGAACGCGGAGCGCCCTCTGCCGGCGCCGAGGTCCCCGGGGAGGCCTCGCGCTGCGCCACTCGTCCCGGCCGCTGTTCCCTAGAACGGCTGCCCCGTCCTGCGCTCTGACTCGGCTTTCACTTGTCACCACCGACCACTGCGACCTTTTTTTTTTTTTTTTTTTTTTTTTTTTTTTTTTTTTTTGAGACAGAGCCTCACTCCGTCACCCAGGCTGGAAGTGTAGTACCGCGATCTCGGCTCGCTGCAACCTCCACCTCCCGGGTTCAAGCGATTCTCCTGCCTCGGCCTCCGGAGTACCTGGAACTACAGGCGTGCGCCACCGTGCCAGGCTTATTTATTTATTTATTTATTTATTTTAAAGACGAGGTTTCACCATGTTGGTCAGGCTGGTCTTGAACTCCCGACCTCAGGTGATCCGCCCGCCTTGGCCTCCAAAGTGCTTGGATTACAGGCGTGAGCCACCGCGCCCGGCCTGTGTTTTGTTTTGTTTTGTTTTGTTTTGTTTTGTTCTGTTTTTTGAGACGGAGTCTCGCTCTGTCTGCCAGCCTGGAGTGCAATGGCGCGATCTCGGTTCACTGCAGCCTCCGCCTCCCGGGTTCCAGCGATTCTCCTACCTCAGCCTCCTGAGTAGTTGGTACTACAGGCGTCCTCCACCATACCTGGGTAATTTTTATTTATTTATTTATTTATTTATTTATTTTTAAGACGGAGTTTCACCAAGATGGCCAGGCTGGTCTTGAACTCCTGACCTCAGGTGAGCCACCCACTTCGGCCTCCCAAAGTGCTAGGATTACAGGCGTGAGCCACCGCACCTGGCAATTTTTGTATATTTAATAGAGACAGGGTTTCCCCACGTTGGCCAGGCTGCTTTCAAACTCCTGACCTCAGTTGATCCGTCCGCCTCGGCCTCCCAAAGTGCTGAGATTACAGGCGTGAGTCACCGCGCCCGGCCTGGACCTGCTTATTGATGATGTCAAATGTCTGGTCAACGACCCCCCGGCCCCAGAAAAGGATTCTCGCTCTGTCGCCCAGGCCGCAGTGCAGTGATGCGATCGTGGCTGGCTGCAGCGTCAGCCTCCTTAGGCTCAAGCGATGCTCCCGCCGCAGCTTCCCGAGTAGCTGGGACCACAGGCGTGCACCACCACGGCCGGCTAATTTTTCGTTTATTTATAGAGACGGAGCCTCCCTATATGGCCAAGGATGGTCTCGACCTCCTGGGGTCAAGGGATTCTCTCGCCTCAACCTTCCAAGGTGTTGGGATTACAGGTGGGAGCCACCACACCCGGCCCAGAGCAGGAATCTTGATGTTTTCCTGCTCTCTGTCCAGCGCCCTGCATCCAATGAGCGCCCCCAAATCCTTTTTTATTTTTATTTTTTTGTACAGACGGCGCGGGGGCGGGGGGTCTACCCTATGTTGCCCAGGCTGGTTTCCAACTCCTGGGCTGAAGTGATTCTCTGGCCTCAGCCTCCCAAAGCTCCGGGATTACAGGCCTGAGCCACCCCGCCGCCGAATTTTTGAATTTCACTGTAGCTCGTTTTACCCGCTCCGCCTCGGAGAACCGTCTCACCGCCCTCAGCTGACCCCTCACTGGTTCTCCCGGAGCCGGGGCCAGAACAAAACTACAACCCCCAGAATGCGCCGCGACCCGGCGGTGCGCCGTCGACGTTTACGGCGTCGCGCGCGCGCGCGCGCTGCCAGGAGTTGCATTTCGCGCTTGCGCTCTCGTCGGGACGCGTCCTCCCAGCCGTCCCTGCGCGTCGTCCTCCTCGCCCTCGGGGCCGTCCGCCCGCCACCCGCTTCCTGGCGTCCGCCGCTGCCATGCTGCCCGCCGCGCTGCTCCGCCGCCCAGGACTCGTCCGCCTCGCCCGCCAAGCCCGTGCTTACGCCGAGGCCGCCGCCGCCCCGGCTGCCGCCGCCGCCGGCCCGGGCCAGATGTCCTTCACCTTCGCCTCCCCCACGCAGGTTCGGGCGCTGCGGGTCGGGACCCTCCGTGTCCGCCGCCCCCGGAGTCCAGAGTCCCCAACCCCAGGGCGCGGCCTCTGCTTCTGGGTCCCCGGACCCGCGCGTCTCTGACGCGGAGTCCACTCAGCCCTGCACCCTCGGCCCTGCCACTGCGGCCGGAGCCCCGCGCTGCCCTCGTCCCGGGCACCTCCCCGAGACAAGCGCCTCCCAGGTGCCCTCCCCGACCTCCCTGGCTGCGGCCCGGGTGTCGCCGGATCGTTGAGCGTTCCCATTTCGCGGATCAGCAAAGTGAGGCGCCACCGTTGAGAACCAAAGCTGCAACCTCGGATTCCCGCGCTGGGCCAAGTGCCCACATCGGCGCCGGGTTCTGCCTTGACCCGTTTCTCAACAGGACAGGCCGAGTCCCGGGTGGCCGCGGGGCTGGCCTGCCCAGCCATCATTCCCCACGCTGTTCCCTGTAGGTGTTCTTCAACGGTGCCAACGTCCGGCAGGTGGACGTGCCCACGCTGACCGGAGCTTTCGGCATCCTGGCGGCCCACGTGCCCACGCTGCAGGTCCTGCGGCCTGGGCTGGTCGTGGTGCATGCGGAGGACGGCACCACCTCCAAGTACTTTGGTGAGTCCGGTGTAGGGCTGCAGAGCCAGGTCAAGCCGGGGCTCCACGTCCCAGGTCAGCCTCCATCTCAGTTGAGGCCGGGCGCGGTGGCTCACGCCTGTAATCCCAGCACTTTGGGACACCAGGGCGGGTGGATCACCTGAGGTCAGGAGTTCCGAGACCAGCCTGGCCAACATGTAATCGCATCTCTACTAAAAATACGGAAAGCTAGTCTGGTGTGGTGGTGCACGCTTGTAATTCCAGTTACTCAGGAGGCCGAGGGAAGAGAATCACTTGAACTCGGAGGCGGAGGTTACAGTGAGCTGAAATTGCACCATTGCATTCCAGCCTTGGATGACAAAGTGAGACTCCATCTCAAAAGAAAAGGAAAGAAAGCATGTTGGACTGGGTGCAGTGGCTCACACCTGTAATCCTAGCACTTTGGAAGGCCGAGGTGGGAGAGTGTGAGACTAGCCTGGGCAACATAGTGAAATCCCGTGTCTACAAAAAGCCGGCTGCGGTGCTGCACACCTGTAGTCCTAGCTGCTTGGGAGGCTGAGGCAAGAATATGGCTTCAGCTGGGGAAGTCAAGGCGGCACTGCACCCCAGCCTGGGCAACAAAAGTGAAACCGTGTGTCAAAAAAAGATCTCCAGAAGCTGCGGTGGGAGGGCCAGTCAGATTAGGGGAGGAAGGTCATCTGTGTAGGAAAAAAGCAGTTCTCGGCGTCACTGGCTGGTGGCAGAGCCAGGTTTGAACTCAGCACAGCCCATGGGTGGTGGGTCAGAGGGAGGGCCTCTGTCCCAGGAAGTGCTTTTGGGAATCCCCGGTCCCACATCTGTCCTTGGACTCCCTCCAGCTTCTAGTCCTTTCGTGGGACCCCTTTTTTGTTCTTCTCCAGACGTCGCCCGCCGTGTTGGGCAGGTCCCGTGGATCTGCCTTTTGGCACACTCAGGACACAGACTCGGGTGTTTGTGGAGCTCCTGGTTCACAGGGAGCTCTGGGCTTGACCACAGGAGTCCCTGTGGCTGTCCTGCCACGTGGGGTCTCACGCCTTCCCACTCCCACTCCCACAGTGAGCAGTGGCTCCGTCACCGTGAACGCCGACTCTTCCGTGCAGTTACTGGCCGAAGAGGCGGTGACTCTGGACATGCTGGACCTGGGGGTGAGTGTCGGGGGTACCTGGTGCTCAGCAGGTGGGAGCTGTCCATGCTTTGGGGGAGGGAGTGCTGGGGGACCAAGAGCCAGGCTGGGGTCCCTGCTGGGCCCTCACCATCCCTCAACCCCCTGCAGGCAGCCAAGGCGAACTTGGAGAAGGCCCAGGCGGAGCTGTCGGGGGCAGCTGACGAGGCCACGCGGGCCGAAATCCAGATCCGAATTGAGGCCAATGAGGCCCTGGTGAAGGCCTTGGAGTAGACGGTGTGTGTCTGGTGCTCGGAGGCCTGGCTGAGGGCTGGGCAGGGGTGCCAGGTGGGCCCGGCCAGCTTCTGGGGTCCTGGCCACCCAGGGAAGCCACATCTGCCAAGGAGGCCACCAGAGGGCAGTGCAGGCTTCTGCCTGGGCCCCAGGCTCTTCCTGTGTTTAAAGCCCTGGGGACTGGGACTGAGATGCTCCTCCTGAGCTTGGGCTGCGCCTGTGACCCGTGGGGCTCTCCTTACGCCTCTCAAGATCCCTGCAGCCTGACGTCCGCATACCACCCCTCTGCCCTCCAGAGCCAGCCACCAAGACCTGCGCTTCGGAGCTGCCTCCCCAGATGAGCTGCCCCAGCCCCTGCCCGATTAAAGTACCGGAAGCCTGACTGTGTGCTCGGCTCTTGTCACTATACCTGCCTGGTGAGGCCAGGACCATCCCAGGCCTCTGCCCACGTCCTGCATGTCCCCCTGGAAATAAGGCCTTTGAGCCTCCTTGGACTCTGCCTCTTGGGGCCCCTGGAGGTCCTTGGGAAACAGGCTTGAGTGGGTGGGTCCTGCTGGGCAGGCAGGGTGCTGACCTTCACCCCATGATGGTGGGGAGGGTGACGGTTGCCAGTGATGAGGGCCTCAGGCAGGAGGGGTGTCCCCACTGCCGTCACCTCTGCCGAGTTCTGGTCTCTAGGCTTGGAGCCTTGACCCTAAGCCCTGCAGGCCCTTGGCTCCACCTCCCAGCCCCTGGGAAGAGGCGGGCCCCACCCGCTCCCACGCTGGCCCCGCCCTGTGCCTGCCCATCATGTGGGTGGCCCTGCCTGGCAGGGTGCTGAATCTGCAGTGTTTTTGGCACTTCCGTGGGCACCTAGGCTTCTGGGTTGGCCCCAGATGGAGTGGGGCGGGTCTAGGAGGCGGTGGCTCCCTGGCACTGTCCCTCCTGGGCCTGCCACTCCTCCCTTCTGCAACCCCAGGGGGTGTGCAGGCAGCGGGGGCTGGGGTCCCCTGACCTCCTTTCCTCCTTGGGACTGGGCCCTGCCGAGTGGGGTGGGCCTGCCTGTGTCACTGGAGATGGGATAGTGACAGAGGCCACCCTAGGGCCAGTCAGCACAGACAGGCAGCTCACTCCCACGTCACCGTCCTGTGTGGGTGACTCGCCATGGCTGCACTGGAGGCTAGGTGCCATTGGGGGCCTGCAGGTCAGCAGGTCAGGCATTCTTCTGGGACGGTCCAGAGCCCCCTGCCTGGCTCCCACTCCACCTGGGCTTCAAGATACGAGTGACTAGCCCCCCACTTCTCCATGAACCCCCTAGCCCAGGGAAAGCTGTGCCAGCCACCAGGTCACAAGAGCAGTCTCTGACCAGGCCCCACCCTCCCTGTCCCTGGGCTCCTGGCCCAGGTCTTCGAGTTCCTGCCAGGCCACCAGGACCCTATAAATAAGACCAAGGGCACGGCTGGAGCTTGGCAGGGGCCCAGCAGGAGCTGCTCACTAAGCCGCCTGCTCCTGGCTTGGGCCAGCAGCACCCACACCGGGGACCCCCTGCCCCCACCCCCAGGGAGGTGTGAGCCTTGGAGCCAGGCCTCAGGACACCCGGAACACCTGACCCTGAGGGAACGGCCCGTGCTGGATGTGTCCTGGGGCAGGAGGCGGCCAGGGTGGGGCCAGGACCCAGGCGGTCAAGGCCCTTCCGCGAGGGCAGCCCCAGGCTCAGTGGGCAGGACGGACCACAGGGTTTGTCCCCATCACACCCAGAAACCACCCACTCAACCACGGGGATGCCAAGTATGGGAACTGGTGGGGAAGCGTTTCAGCACGTTTATTAGTTTAGACTGGCTCTGGGCATCTGGTCCCCAAAGGGCCACATAATGGCCCCCGTGGAGCCTGGTATGTTCCCACAACCCATCCCATTCCAGTCCTGACCAGACTGAGGTGACAGTGTCCAGGTGGCAGAGCTCTGCTAACCCCAGGGTCATGTCACCCAGCCCACTGCACTGCCACCCCCACACATGAAAGGCAGGGAGGGAAGTGGGGGCTGCTGGCCACTCAGAGGACCCCAATGCCCTGCCAGGATTGCCCATCCAGTGCCAGCCCGAAGCCCCCTCCACCATCTCTGTTGCCACTGGAAGCAAAATGAGCGTGGCCCTGCAGGTCCCACATGGGGCCCAGCCCCTCATCCAGGCCCCACTAATCCATGTAGCGAGCATCATCTTTTTTGTTTGGTTGATTTTTGTTTGTTTTGAGACAGAGTCTTATTCTGTCTCCAGGCTGGAGTGCAGTGGCTCCATCTTGGCTCACTGCAACCTCCACCTCCTGGGTTCAAGCGATTTGCCTGACTCAGCCTCCCAAGTAGCTGGGACTACAGGTGCACGCCACCATGCCCAGCTAATCTTTGTATTTTTAGTAGAGATGGGTTTTCACCATGTTAGCCAGAAAGGTCTTGATCTCTTCACCTCTTGATCCGCCCACGTCGGCCTCCCAGAGTGCTGGGATTACAGGCGTGAGCCACCATGACCCTCGGCATCTTTTTTATGTGACAAACTCCTACTCATTCCTCGAATCTCAGCCCCTGTGACCCCCTTCCAAGGGTTCTCCCAGCCTCTCCCTCTGTGGCCTAGCCCTGACCCTGCGGGGCTGGGTGTGCCTGTCAGGGTGGGGAGGAGTGCAGTCCTGGGAGGGGTGCCCATGGCCAGGGTGGGGGTGGAGGTGATCAGGCCAGATAAAGGGAGGAGCCAGATAGGTGGACAGGAGGTGCTTCAGTAGGGATGGGGTCCTCTACTCTGGACACAGGGGCAAGACAGGGGCCAGCCCAACAAGGGACACCCTCAAAAAGCTACTACTGAGAAGGTAAGATACACCCCACATTCCTGTCTCATTGGCTGTGCCTCAGTTTCTTCATCTGTAAAATGGGGGTAATGCCCACCCCAAAGGCTGGGAATGAGCCCATGTCCTGCATGAACCGGGGGCGATGGCCCCAGAGTGAGCCTGCTGCATCCTCTCACTACACTCCCACCCACCGTGGAGAAACTGAGGCTGGGAGAGGCCAGTTACCTCCCGAGGTCACAGCATAGCCGGATGGTGACTGGCTGGGCACAAGGCAGGCCTGGCACTGGCTAATCGCTCCATAAATGCCCTCTGAGGTCACCATTGACAGATGCAGGAGGCCAGGGCTGGCCGGGGCACCCCCACTCCACGGCAGGTGACTCCAGCCTGTTTTCCTGGACGACAGCCGCTGACTCAGGCCCCTCTTCCCGTCCCCCCCCACGCTGGGGCCTCCAGGCGGAAGCACCGGGCCTGGGGTGGCAGGAAGGGGGCGGGGCAGAGAGCCGCACCGTACACCCCCAAACTCTGTCCAGGTGAAGATTCAGGGTGCAACCGAGCCCGCAGAAGGCAGGCCGGGACCCTTGTCTCCAAGCATTCAAGGGGCGTCCACCCATGAACTGCACGAAGCCTGGGTACAGGGTGGCTCTGCTGCCAAGGCGCCCCAGGGCCCCGGCCGGCAGGCAGGCAGGGGCGGGGGCCCGTCTGCGTCACCGCCCGCCCGGTCCCCCGCCCCCTGCCCCCCGCCCCCTGCCCGCCCAAACTCCACCCCGAGGGAAGGCGGCGCGGATAAAGGCAGGGGGCCGCCCGCTCGGCCCAGACCGGCCGGGCCAGCGCGCTTTCGACTCCATACGAGTGTACTCGCAGGACCTGGGATCCAGGACCGGCCGCGCCCGGTGAGTGGGGGGCGGGACCTGCGGGTCGAGGAGGGGTCCCCACTCAAGACGGCGCAGGAGGCCCGCACTTGTCTTTGTTCTTGGGATAGGCGGGGCTCGGGGTGCCCTTGGTCCTGGGAAGCCCCCCGGGGTGCGGGGTGGGAGGGGCCCCGCGCAGCCAGCGCCGCCCTGGCCGGACCTCAGCCCCCGCCCCGCCCCCCGGGGCACTCCCCCTTCCCCGCGAGTGACCTTGAACCGGCTGCCGTTCCGCCTCCGTCTCCCATCCACGCGGTCCCCGTCTCCCGACTGAGCCTTCAGTCCCCGATCGGGGTTCCTCCCCCGCGCGCGGCCCCGCGGTTCTCTTCCCCTGCCCGGGGCAGCGCGGCGCCCCCTCCCCGGGACTCCGGGCGGCGCTCCCGGGCGGGCACGGCAGAGGGCGCCCCCGAGCTGCTGACTCACCGCATCCCCGAGCGCGCGCGGGCCCAGCCGGGGACGCCGCGTCACGTCACGGCTCCGGCGGGCGCGCCCCGGGAAACAGGCTCTGCCCGGGCCGGGGGCTGGGCGCGCGGGGCTCCCGGCAGCAGCAGCAGCCTCCCAGCCACGTCACCGCGGCGCGGGCGCCCCGCCCCGACCCCATCCCCAGTTCCCCACGCCCGCCCCGGGGGCCGCGGCCCGAGCATCCCCGCCGTCCCCGCCGGGACCCCGGCCACGAGGCGCGGACTTCGCGCTCCCGCTTCCGCTCCGGCTCTTCCCGGACGGACGCGGCGGGGCGGCCCCACGACTTCCTGCCCCTCCTGGCGCTAGGAACAATGGCCCGCGCCCCCTCCCGCTCCCGGGCCGCTCACCGGGTGTCGCCAAGGGGACGGGGCCCGTCTCGGGGCCGGAGTCCCGCGCCCCCCGGGGCCCGCCCGCCCTTTGTTGCGGGCTCCCGGCGCTTATGAATGGCTGCGGGCGCGGGCGGGGCGGGGGCGGGGGCGGGCACAGAGAGGCGCCGGCCCCGCCCCCGCCGCGCTCCCCTTGGCCGTCCGGGCGCCGGGGGCGGGGCGAGGGGCGGGCCCGGCTGCCACGTGGGGCGGTGCCGCGGCGGCTCCCATTGGCTGCGGCGCGCGGCCGACTGGGCGCTCGGCGCGCGGCGATTGGCCGGCGCGGGGCCGGCGGAGTAAGTAGTGAATGGGAGGGGGCGGCGGCACCGCCCCCGGGAACGTTGATACATTATAACTTTTTTTTCTTGTTACTTTCACCCCCAGATCCTCCGAGCGGCGGCGGCGGCGGCGGCTGTTGCTAAGGGAGGGGACGCGAGGGGAAGCGCGACCCGGGCGGCGGACGGCACCCCGCGCCAGCGGCCGAGCGGCGCCCCCTCCCCGAGACCCTCCCCCGCGTGGCGCCCCGGTCGCGCCCGCCGCCCTTTAAAGGAGCCGCGCGTGCCGTCCCCACCCCCGGAAGGCGCCCCCGGAGCCGCAGCGACCCCGGAGCGCCCCTCGGATTGTGGATTTCGGTCTAGCGTTCCGCGGCCGGGACGTTCTCGAGGAGGACGCGCGCCGTTCCGCGTCCCCGAGCACCCGGAGGACCCGGCATCCGGGGAGCCCCTCGCCCCTGTCCCGGAGGCGCAGCGCGGATTGGCGGCTCCCACCGGCCCCAGCGCCCCCAGCGCGCGCCGGGGATGGAGCCGCAGCCCGGCGGCGCCCGGAGCTGCCGGCGCGGGGCCCCCGGCGGCGCCTGCGAGCTGGGCCCGGCGGCCGAGGCGGCGCCCATGAGCCTCGCCATCCACAGCACCACGGGCACTCGCTACGACCTGGCCGTGCCGCCCGACGAGACGGTGGAGGGGCTGCGCAAGCGGCTGTCCCAGCGCCTCAAAGTGCCCAAGGAGCGCCTGGCGCTTCTCCACAAAGACACGTAGGTACCGCGCGCCCCCGGCCCGCCGCCCCCTCGGGCCCCGGCCCCGGGGCGGGAACAAAGAGCGCGCCGCGCGGGGAAGGCAGGGGGCGGCCAGACGGGGAGCGGGGGCGCGCCGCGCGCTCTCGGGCGCCCTCTGCTCGGCCCCGATTGCCTCGGCCCCCTCCCCCGCCCGGGGTCGCGGCACAAAGGCGGCTGCGAGGGTGTCCCGGGCCGGGCCTCGGCGGCCCCCTCGGGGGCGGGCAGGGATCCCGGGGCGGCGCGGGGGTCCTGGCTGCGGGCGTGGGGGCCGCCGCCGCCCCCTCCCGCCTGCGTCCGCGCCGGCTTCCGCATCTGCTCGGCGGCCTCCTCTGCGTCTGGCTGTCTCCCCCCGCTTGCGTCTCTCTCCCCCCTTTGTTCTCGCCTCGGAGCGTTCCCCGCAGCCTCCCCTCCCCCCTGGTATTTAAATCGCCTGCAGGCCCGGAGCCCTCCCCTCCCCGGGGCCTCCGGGGACACGCAGTGTCCATCCCAGCGGAGGGGCCCTGCGGGGGAGGGGCGGGGGGAGGGTCTCCTTTGTCTGCGCGGCGGCGGCGGCCTGCACTAGGGAGGGAGGAGGAGGGGGAGCCCGGCCCGGCGCAGCCCCCGGGGCCTCTCTTCGGGCTGAAACCCGTGGCGCCCACAAAGACGAGCCAGGGCTGGAGTTGGGGAATTGGAGGCAGGGGTTGCCCTGGGGCGCCGGGTAAGGTGGCACAGAGCACTCTGGGGCCCAGATGAGGAGAAAGTGCCTTGTTGGGGTGCAGAAGAGGTGCCAGAGTCCAGGGCGGGGATTCCTTTGGAGGGAGGAGGTCGGAATCTCTCGGATGGGGGCTCCCAGCACCAGACGGAGCCCTCTCTGCACGAGCTCAGGGCCCAGGATCGGGAAGCCGGGAAGGAGTGGGGGTGGGAACTTCTCCGTCTCTCCCCCCACAAGCACAGCCCTCCCCCGCGGCCTCTGCTTCCGCGTCCCTGTGTCGTCTCCGAGGAGTCTCATGCTCTTCCTTCTTCCCCCTCCCCCAGCCGGCTCAGTTCGGGGAAGCTGCAGGAGTTCGGCGTGGGTGATGGCAGCAAGCTGACCTTGGTACCCACCGTGGAAGCGGGCCTCATGGTAAATGTCCGTGGGGCGGCGTGTCCCCCCGAGGTCCGCATGCAGGCAGTAGCCCCTCCCTCGGCACCTGTCCCCACACATTCCACTTGGGGCCCCTCCCCGCCAGCCAGCAGGGCCTCCCCACTCCATGCTTCAGCCCCCAATTCCAACCCCGCACTGAGGCCCCTTTCCTGCTTCTCTCTTTGTAGTCTCAGGCCTCAAGGCCGGAGCAGTCCGTGATGCAAGCCCTGGAGAGTCTCACAGAGACCCAGGTAAGACCTTGCCAGCCCCTTCCTAACAGGGCCGCCCTGGGGGACCGAAAGGGAATCACCACCCTGCCTGCGTGCCAGCCTGGCCTGGCCTCCGCGCTTCCTCCCCCCTAGACTCACCACTTGACCCAGAGGGTTTTGTTTCCCACGGTGGCTGCCCTGGGGGAAGGGGACCTGGCTTTCACAAGACTGCCTGTGAGGTGACCTTGGCCCATGGGGCACTCGCACCCTGGCCTTCATCCCTAGCTCCCTCTGCACCCACTGAGGACCCCCCCCCCGTGCCCCCTGCCAGGCAGTGCAGCTTCCCCAGAGAGTTTCTCCTTTTTTACATTTCTCGTGGCAGCCTGGGTGATACTGCTTCCGCCTTCTGTGACCCCATTGTGAGCGGGTGGGGACCTTGTCACCCCCTCCTCCTCCTCTCTCTGGCCTTTGTTCTCTACCCCGAAAGGGGAGGGGGCGGGGGCGCCCAGCCCTAAGGCCAGTGCAGCCGAGACAGGATGTTAGGAAAATATTTAGTAAGCGGCCAGGAGGGAGGCTGGGGCTGGCCCTCACCCGGTTCCCGGTTTTGCTGCGGCCTTTTTTTTTTTCTCCTTCTTTCCTCATTTTCTTGGCGTTAGCCAATCCTTCCTCAGACAAGGGCCCTGGCCACCTCCCAGGAGGGTGACACAGGCCTCAGCAATACGCCGGCTGCCAGGGTGGGGGACGAAGGCGGCCACCCGCCCCGGCAAGGGGGTGGCCAGCTTCCCAGGCCTCCCCAGCCCTGAGGCCTGCGCCCCCTTCCCGGCGACGTGTAGAGTCCTGCCCTCTCCCTGCGGCGAGCGGGCAGGATGAGGGCCCAGGAGCTGGGTGGTCTGCTGTGGGGGTGGCCGAGGCAGCTTCGGTGGCATGAGGGCAGAGCCAGGGGTCCTGAGCCAGGGTGGGGGCTGCAGGTGATTTCCTGGGGCAAGTGTGAGCCCATCTCCCCAACACTGGAGGGCTGCGGTTGGCAGGGGGCCCAGGGCGTGTTTGCTTCACACCCTCCTCCCCGGGGCGCCTGCGTCAGGAAGGAGCTGGGGTTGGGGGGGCTGGGCGGAGACACTGGGCTCCCCAGGGTTGCTTCCCCGCCTGGCACCGAGTCATGCCCGCCCATTCGCCCTCCCCAGGGAGGAAGTTGCAGGGCGGGTGGTGGTGGTGACTCCAGCTGCTCTCGGGAAGCCACCCTGGGCCCTTCCTGCAAAGGCTGTTTTGGGGCCGGGGGGCCGGGCAGGCTGGGCCTCAGGGTGGGGGCTTCACCCTGCCCACCTCCCTGCCCCTCCTCCCCACGGGCCCCAAGCAAAGAAGGTTACGCCAGCCACTGCCAGTGGAGAGCCGGGAGGGAGCGCTGGGAGGCGGTCGGTTCTGACTCATCCCGGCCTGTGTCACTTCTCAGAAACCTCCGCCCCCCCATCCCAGCCCCTGGGGAGAGCCGGGCTCTAGCCAGGACCCAGAGCAGGGGGCTTAGCCAGGACAGGGTCAGATCTCACTAACCCACACCCACCCTGAACGGGGGCAGATTGAGGGTTTCTGTGCTTGGGGCAGGTTGAGCCCTCCCAGACTCCAGCCCCAGGGCGGTCAGGGCCCCTTCCTGCAGCCTCGCTGCTGCCCCCTCGGCCTCCACACCGCCCAGAACAGATAAATATTTATCTTGAGAAAGCAAAGGTTAGGACGGAAGAATTCTGTCCAGGAATTCCACCCACTTGCTGGCCCTGATGACTTAGCTGGGAGGGGGCCTGAGATGGAGCCCCCCCCTCCCAATCACAGGCAGAGAGGACCTAGGGACCCATGAGGGTGAGAAAAAGGCAAAGTGAAAGTTCTTTCAGGTCAGTGACTGCCAGCTGGGCCCCGCCCCCTCTGGCCTCAGTTTCCCCTCGAAAGAACCTACAGAGTTGGCCAGGGAGGGGCAGGCCCCCGTCTGACCCGCCTCTGTCCCCACAGCCCCCAGCGGCGCCCGGGCCGGGCCGGGCTGGCGGAGGAGGCTTCCGGAAATACAGATTCATTTTATTTAAGCGTCCGTGGCACCGACAGGGACCCCAGAGCCCAGAGAGGGGCGGCGAGAGGCCCCAGGTCATAGCTCGGGGGGACGGGGATGGGCCGGGCTGGGGGCGCCGCAGCTGGGGCTCCGGGCTGACGGGCTGCTGTCCTTGCAGGTCAGTGACTTCCTGTCGGGGCGCTCTCCGCTGACACTGGCCTTGCGTGTGGGCGACCACATGATGTTCGTGCAGCTGCAGCTCGCGGCCCAGCACGCTCCACTGCAACACCGCCATGTGCTGGCGGCCGCCGCTGCCGCCGCCGCCGCCGCACGGGGGGACCCCAGCATAGCCTCCCCGGTGCCCTCGGCCTGCCGGCCGATGTCCAGTACCACCCGAGTCCCCCCAGTGCCCGCCAGCCCTTCCCCTGCGTCTCCCTCGCCTATCACGGCCGGCTCCTTCCGGTCTCACGCAGCCTCCACCACCTGCCCGGAGGTGAGCCTGGGGAAGGGAAGGGTGCCCCTCGGTCGGTATACAAAGGGTGGGCCATCCTGGGAAAGGCTCCGGGAGAACAAGGGCTCTTAGCTCCAGGTGAGTCCCTTGTAGGAAGGACTAGCCTGTGACTTCAGGCTGGTGGGTGATCCGTCTCCTGACCTGACCTGGGCCAGCGGGGGATCTCCTGACCCCTGACTTCATGGGTTGATTCTGTCCTCTGGGTTGGTCGTGTCGTGAGCCTGGACAAGTTTATCTGCAGAGCGTGCACTGATGCATCATCTCCTGACCTGGGCTGGAGGGCTGTCTCTGGACCCCGGGTTGGTGGTGATCCCCTGAGCCTGGAGGCCATGCTCACCTGCCCCTCCCTCCTGTTAGCAGATGGACTGCTCCAGTACGGCCAGCGGCAGCACCAGTCCTGGTGCCAGCACCACGTCTACCCCAGGGGCCAGCCCTACCCCCCGCTCCCGAAAACCCGGCGCCGTCATCGAGAGCTTTGTGAATCACGCCCCAGGGGTCTTCTCAGGGACCTTCTCTGGTAGGTGCCACAGCACACATGTGACCCCTGTGACTCCCCTGACCCTGTGCGTCTCAGGGCTCACATTCCCCCACAGGCGGCTCCACGCATTCTGGGTGGACATGGCCATCTCCGTTTGCTTCACGTGTCCTCCCAGCATCCCCACACACACGCATGGCCGAGGGTCACCAGGCGTCCACGTACTGGGGACGTGTCCCGTTCCCGGCCCGTGGTCCCTCGTGCATGTCAGCCCACGTGCCCACCCCACCGTCCGACCTCATGAGCTCACACCCGTGAGCATGTCCTGGACATGCTGGACCGTGGGCGTGTCCGTTGCTCACGGCCGTCTCTGCCCACAGGCACGCTACACCCCAACTGCCAAGACAGCAGCGGACGGCCGCGGCGTGACATCGGCACCATCCTACAGATCCTTAACGACCTTCTGAGCGCCACCCGGCACTACCAGGGGATGCCCCCGTCGCTGGCCCAGCTCCGCTGCCACGCCCAGTGCTCCCCCGCCTCCACAGCCCCCGACCTGGCCCCCAGAACTACCTCCTGCGAGAAGCTCTCGGCCACCCCCCCAGCCTCCCTCCTGCAGGGCCAGAGCCAGATCCGCATGTGCAAGCCCCCGGGTGAGTAGCCACCCTCCGCCCTTGGGGGTCGCGCCTTCCCCGCCCGCAGGGGCTTCTCAAGGCCCCTCTGTGTGAGCCGGTGGGCACAGAGCAGCTGACCTGCCCAGGGGCTGGGGGGGACAGCAGCTGCTGGGGCCACTGCCCTGCTTCAGCCGGGAGAGAAGGCAGCGTGTGTGTTGGGACACAAAGTGTCCTTGTGTGCTCCCGGGGGGTCCCAGCCCCACTTCCTCCTGGCCCCCCCGGGGCGCCATCTCCAGATGGCATTTGGAGCCTCTGTGAATGGCCAAGTCAGGTCTGGCAGGCCGAGGCAGGGCCAGAGCCCACCCCTAGGCATTTCAGTGACTTGAAAAACCAAGAAAACCACCCCCCCACACACGCACTCCCCCTGCAGTCTCATGGGAACATGGCTACTGTCAGCCCCTCAGGCTGCCCAGCTATGGCGGGGGCTCCTCCCAAGCTCAGTATAAAAGCGGGAAACCAAGGAACATCCCCCAAGTGTCTCCCCTGGGATCACAGAAGTGGTCCAAAGGCTCTGGGAGGGGGAGGCAGGGCAGTCCTGACCTCCCAGCTCATGGTTCAGCTGGAGAATTAGACGCTAGCTGCATAGCTGGGATTACAGGCAGACACCACCATGCCTGGTTGATTTTGTGGTTTTTGCAGAGGAGGGGCTTGGTATGTTGCCTAGGCCTGTCTGGAACTCCTGGGCTCAAGCGATCCTTCTGCCTCAGCCTCCCAAAGTGCTGGCATTACAGACAAGAGGCACCACCACCCCCAGCATGGTGGATGGCCTTGACCGTTTCCTTTGCTGGGGTCTAGGGCGGTCCTCCGTGTTCAGGGACTGGAGGGGAAAGCTTTGGGAGTCACAGGCCACTACCTCCTTTGCAGGGGACCGGCTTCGGCAGACAGAAAACCGTGCCACGCGCTGCAAGGTGGAGCGGCTGCAGCTGCTTCTGCAGCAGAAACGGCTCCGCAGAAAGGCCCGGCGAGATGCGAGGGGCCCTTACCACTGGTCACCCAGCCGCAAGGCCGGCCGAAGCGACAGCAGCAGCAGCGGGGGCGGCGGCAGCCCCAGCGAGGCCTCCGGATTGGGCCTCGACTTCGAGGACTCCGTGTGGAAGCCGGAGGTCAACCCTGACATCAAGTCAGAGTTTGTGGTGGCTTAGGATCGGCCACCCTCGCCCCTCGCACCCCAGCCCAGGGCGGCGGGCGCTCCGAGGGCCCCACAGAGAGGGCGGCCCAGCTCTGGAGGGCAGGCGGCCACTCCCCCCCAGCCAGAAGCCTTTCTTTCTTTTCTTCCTTTTTCTTTTTTTTTTTTTTTAAAAAGTTCTGACCGTGGTTTCCTGGACTCTTCATGGGTTTTGCTTCCTACCTCCTCCACCCTCCACCCCTGCCCTCCCCCTCCTCCTCCTCCTCCTCTGTCTCTTTCACCTCCGCTCTGGTCGGTCCTCCCTGCCAACCTTCCCCAGCTCCAATATGTAGCAGCCCTTCTGGATGGCGGAGAGTGAAGGAGACTGAGCAACCCACCCCATCCTCTCCGCCGCCTCCTTCCCCCCCACCCTATTCAGGTTTTAAGTCAAAAATGTCGACGTGTCATTATGCACTTTACAGATGAGGGGAGGGGGCCACAGTGTGCAGAACCCATCCCGCTCCCGCCCCGTGCAGACTTCAGGGCCTCCACCCCAGGCCAGCGGCACCCACTGGGTTACAGCAAGCCAACAGGTCACAGCAGCCTACAAGGGGACTGTTTTCTCTTCCACTCCTGTTCTCTTTTCTCGGTGTCTTTTTGCATTTTCCTTCATTTCTTTAAAAAGGAGAGCAAAGCCGTTTTAGCAGAGGGGCTGGGGCTGGGGTCTACCTAGGGGTGTGGCAGCCTTTCCTGCCGGGAAGGGAGAGGGAAACTGCCCACCCCCATCCCCACCCCAGTGTTTTCGGACCTCCTGCCTGAGCTTGGGGTATTTATAGACTATTAATTTTCTGACTGAGCCAATAGTGGTTGGGGAACTCTTGAAAAATAGGGAGAGAATGGCCGGGTGCTGGGGAGATACCCTCCCCCCCGCAGCCCTCCTTCCCGGCCCAACCTGAGGGACATGGGATTTGGGACTGGGGGCCTCTCCTGCAGCCAGGATCGGAGGGGGGTGCTGAGCTGTGAATCCCCTGGGTAGAGGGCACCAACTCCGTGTAGCATTAACCCCTGTGGCGGGGTCCGCTGCTGGTCTAATTTGGACCCCCCCACTCCTCAGTGCCCCTGCCCTAGGGGTGTCTGGCCCCACAGGGGAGGGACAAATCCCCTACTGGGGCCATTTCAATGGGGTAGTTTTGGGATTTTTCCCCCACTCATTTTTTATTTTTTAATGATAAAGGAGATGTCTGGGCCCTCCCCACCCTGCCTGTTGGTCTTGTCCTGGCCCTGCCTGTCCCCCACTTTGTTCTCGTAGGTGAATCCCGGGTCCTCAACCCCCACCCCCTTTATGTGTTGAAAGTTAATGGTTTCAGATGTGAACATCACGTGTTATAACTGTAGCTCTGTAAATTTTTTTGTGGGAGGGTGGGCAGGGAGGGGTCCCAGAGGGTATAAAGCTCAAGGATTTTCGGTTTTGTTTTGTTTTTGTTTTTCCAAAAAAAAGAAGAAAAAAAAATAGAAAAAAAAAAGAAAAAAAGAAAAAGGGGCGGGTTTGTTTTTTGAAGAACTGTCTTGGATACCTATTTAAATGTGTGTTCTGTTTTGTTTTTTAACGATTTTTAAATAACGTCTGTGCCTCCGTGGGTTGAGGGTGGAGCCTGCAGGCAGTAACCGGCTTGCCACCCTCTGCCCGGTAAGGGCTGCCCGGGAAAGCATTACCCACCCTCGGGGGGTCGGGCTGTGGGGGTCCCGGCACCTGGCGTGAGTTTCATGTATGAAAACAAAATTGAAGAAAACCCTACACAAGCACCGTGATTTCAAGTAATAAACAGAAAATGAAACCCAAGTCAGCATCCCGCCTGCTCACCTGGTGGGATTTGGCCGTGGTTGGGAGGGTTCCTGGGGTGGGATGTCCCAGTCAGAGACCTGGATCCCAGGGGCCAGTGGAGGGGGTGGGTCAGGGGTCAGCACCCTGAGAAGTTCCCACGCTCCCTCCCCAGCTGCGAGGTGGGCAGGAAGCCGCCCGGGTGTGGGAGGGAGGAGCCCAGCCACTTCCTGGTACCCGGGGCCGGAAGTCCCTGAGGGTGTGGGGCAAGGGCCTCCCTGCCTGCTGCGTGGCCTGGGCAGGACCCCAGCCCCCTCTCAGGACCTGCCAGTAAGTGGGGAGATCTGCCCAGTTCTTTCCAGACAGGAGTGGGGGTGTGCCAGCCCCACCCACTGTTCTTCCTGGAGTCTCACCTCTGTGTGGCTTGCTGCAGGGAGAGCACCAGGCTGACTGGGAGGATCTGAGAATCTTTAGGGTATCTTGGGCTGGCTGGTGACAGAGGCCTGGCTCTGGGCGGGCAGGAGGGGGGGTTCTCTCTGGCCACACCTCCTGACATTCCAGCCCTTCGGAGACCTCCCGGCCTTTGCCCCTATCTAGAAACACCCCTCGCCTGGCTGTCCCTTGCCCTGTCTGGGAACTTCCGCAGCCTGCACCTTTCACCCCTGCCCGCCCAGTCCCACAGACCCCACCCTTTCCTCTCTCTGCTCCCAGCCTGGAGCTCCCCAAAGGCCCCGCCAGGACTGAGTCCTCTCTGGGGTCCCAATCCATCCATGTCCGGCCTGGGTAAAAGATGGACAATAATACTATTTCATGTCCTTTTTTTTTTTTTTTTTTTTTTTTTTTTTTTGAGACAGGGTTTCACTGTGTTAGCCAGGATGGTCTTGAACTCCTGACTTCGTGATCCGCTCACTTTGGCCTCCCAAAGTGCTGGGATTACAGGTGTGAGCTACCTCGCTGGCCTCATGTCCTTAAAAAGCAAAAACAAAAAAAACCAAAAAATAAAGCTGTATTTCCTCAGGTAACAAGAGTTGCTTAAGAGTTAGAAGTAGGCCAGGCGCGGTGGCTCAAGCCTGTAATCCCAGCACTTTGGGAGGCCGAGGCGGGTGGATCACGAGGTCAAGAGATCGAGACCATCCTGATCAACATGGTGAAACCCCGTCTCTACTAAAAATACAAAAAATTAGCTGGGCATGGTGGCTTGTGCCTGTAATCCCAGCTACGCAGGAGGCTGAGGCAGGAGAATTGCCTGAACCCAGGAGGCGGAGGTTGCGGTGAGCCGAGATCGCGCCATTGCACTCCAGCCTGGGTAATAAGAGCGAAACTCCGTCTCAAAAAAAAAAAAAAAAAAAAAAAGAGAAGTAATTGAGCTCCCATTTTATAGATGGGATAACACAGGCCCAAAGAAAAACATCCGTTGGTTCAGAGAATTTAGGGTGTTTGTTCGATGATGTGACCTCCACCCCTTATCCCATCTCTAGGGGCCCCGGCACTGGGAGAGGGCACAGGTCCCGGGAGTGGCCTGGGAGCATCCTTCTGAGAACCCTCTGCCCCTCCCAACGCCCAGTCAACCCCAAATCATCCCACGCCCACGTCAGGAAGGCGGATGCCCAGTCAGGCGGCCCCCGTCTCTGGCGCGGACGTCCCCTCGAGGCTCAGGATGGGGGTGCGGGTCACCGGCGCCCGGCCTGGGGTCAGGGCGAGGGCCCCAGGGCGCCGCCGCCCCCTCGCTAGGCGGGTGGAGAGGAGGAAGAAGAATGTTGTCTGCAGCACCTGCTGAATCACAGGGGCTGTGTCTGCAGCCTGCAGGGCGGGGGGCGCGTCCCCTGCGCTCCAGGACCCGCCCCTCGGGATTCCGACCCCCCACCCCAGCCTGGGGATCCCGGGGGTCAAGTCTGTGCACTGGGGGCGTGGGGTGGGGTGTGGAGCTCCAGGTTCAGAGCCCTGGTCTGGTGGGCTAAGCCCATCCAGGGGTGCAGTGGACATACGGGCGGCGGGCCACGTGTGCGTAGGAAGGCACGGAGAAGTAAACTGAGGCACAAAGAGGGCGGGGCCCCCTGTGATCGCGGGAGGCGGGGTCCGCCCTGGATCGCTCCCTTCCCCCCCGACCATTGAGGAAAAAGCTGAATGGGAGGGGGCGGCCCCCGGAAACCCGCCGGGATGGAAACGCGGTTTCCAAGGCAACGCGCCGCGAAAGGAGCCTGACGTCACCCCGGATAGGGCGCCCCGCCCGCCCCCGTCCGCGCGAGGGGCGACTCAGGCCCCGCCCACCCCTAGGGACGCCTCATTGGTGACCTTACAGTTCGCTCATCTGCGTGCCCCAATAGCAGAGGAGGCAGCCTCCAGGAAGCGGGACTTCAGCCCGGCTGGGCCGAGTGCGCAGGCGCAAGCGCGGAGGCGCTGCGGCCCCGCCCCTCTCCCGGCGCGTCTGCAAACTTGGGGGCGGGAGGTGCAGCCGAGGGTCTGACGGCTGCGGCGGGGCCTGGACGGAAGAGGGGGCGAGCCCCGGGGCGCCGCACGTGGACCCCCGGCACGGGCACGCTCACGTGCACCCGGCCTTTCACACCCACGCGTTTCCTGCTGCCTCCGCCCCTGCAGCACTGCGCGTCCCAGACCCCGGCCCAGCCTCCCCGCGGTCCCTGGGATGGGGGATCTCAGACAGGAGGCCAGGAGGAGGGGGACTTTGGGGCCGAGGCTTTGCCAGAGGAGCAGGAGTTTGCCAAGTGTTGTAGGAAGCGGGAAGGGTGCGCCAGGTACGGGGCAGGGCGTGTGCAGAGGCCCGGACACGTGAAACCGAGTGCATTTGGGGGGCGACCGGAGAAGATTCAGAGATGGGAGGAAAGGCGAGGTTGGCGGGGATCCTAAAGGGGGGTTCTCCAAGTCGGCCACTGGAGGGATGACTTGGGGGACCTGGGAGGAGGAGCAGGTGAGGGGGAGCGGCGGCCAGGACATCTGGGAGGTGGCTGGACCCGGGGCCTGGACGTTGTGGGGGTGTCGAGTGGGGATGGATGATCGGTGGGGACCCTGGTGTCCTCACCCTGGGGAGGCTGAGACGGAAAAGGAACTACGGTGTACAGTCCTGGAGTCTGTCGCAGCCGTGCCCGGAAGGTGGCGGCGGTAGGGGGTAGCAGGGGGGATGGAAGTTTTGGGGCGGAAATCTGAAATGTCTGTGTGAGCACTAGACCGAGAGAGCTGAGGACCCAGGAGGCAGGAGTCCCCCGTGGCCGCCCGCTGCTGGTTGTGGGCAGTGGTTGGTTGCACAGCGCCGGTGCCAGGTGTGGAGGCTGTAGCCGAGGCCTTTGGTGCAGCCTGGCCTCTGGAGTTCGCAGGGTGGGGGCTGCCCCGTGGCTGGGAGCCCGTGCTGGCGCCCCTGCCAGACGGTGACCTCACAGGTGGGGAGTGCTTGGGGAGACGCGGCAGCTGTGGGCGGGCAGGCGAAGGTCACTGGCGGTCATGGCTTTGGCTTGAGGCTGGAGTCCTCCGGCGGTGGCCAAGTGGACCCTTGGAGCTGGCCTGGCAGGTGACTATGGTGGGCAGCAGTAGAAGCCAGGCGGCCAGCACCCTGTGGCTTGGAGCCACTGGGTTGGAGGGGTTGAACCTGCGCCCGGGCACAGCCGCCCCCACAGGGCCTGGCCCCACCCACCCTTCTCTTCCAGCACCATGGGAATGGGAGTTACCCGGCTGGAGGCTGGGGACGCCACCACCCCGTGGCCGAGGGCGTTGGGGCCCAACCCAGGAGCTGGGTGCTGCCCCACCCACAGGCCGCCTAGCCCTCGGAGGGCAGAGAACTGGCTGCCTTTGGGGTCACTTGGAACAGGTGAGCTGCCCAGCCCTCCGGGTGGGGGAGCGGAGGCTCTCACCTGGGCCCTGCCTCCGAGGGCCCTCCTGCCCTGGCCTCCTCCCTCTGTCTGGTTCTCACTCCCTCCGTTGCTCTTTCTTTTGCCTTTGTCTATTTCTGTCGATCTCTGGCGGTCCCCGGCGGTCTCTCCAACCCAGTACCACCCTCTCCTCGGCTCCCCTCCCTCCCTTGCTTCCGCCCCCTCTCTGGGGGCCCCCTCACTCCCCGGGGCACATTCCAGCCTCCTCCCCCGCCTTGCAGCCCCTCCCTGGAGCCAGCTGCCTCCTCCGGTGCCCGAGCAGAGGGAGTGGGCTCGGGCGGAGGTCGGAGGTCGGGGAGTGGGCGGGAGCCGGGGAGGGCACCCCTAACCCCTCTGGAATGTGGGCGGAGCAAGGTGAGGGAGACAGCTGCTGCCTCGGAGGGCACACACCCCACACCCCGGACGCTACCCACACTCAGCCCTGTGGGAAAGCAGGCACAACCAACGGGTGCCGTCCCACTTGGGGGCTGCACAGCCATTCCACGCCCCCACCAGCACTCCCGGGACAGCCCTCCACAGGCCACGAATTTATGGGGACAGCTGGTGTGCCAGGCTCCCAGATACATGAAACTCTCCCCACACCCAATACACCCGATAAACCTGCCCCCAACCTCAATCCACCGTGTGACCCTAAAGCAAACAGCACCGCCAGGCTCAGTCACGGCCAAGGCCTCCGCTAACAAAACGCCAGCCTGGAGAGTCATAGCACACCCCACGGCTGCCACCAGATACAGAGGGCACCAGCCTCTCCTGCCACCCAACACACGCCTGGGCGGGGGCAGGAACGCTCCAGGGCCTCCAGCCACAAACACTCACCCACTCACCCCTCAGTGCCTGAGATCTTCCGCTGCCCAGCCAAGCTGGACTCCAGGGTCAGGGTGGCGGTTGGGGAGTCAGGGGTTCCCAGGCCAGCCCCAGCCTACGCCTTCCAAAAGCCTTTCTGTTCTGTTCACGTTGGAAATACAAATCAAACAGGAGAGTTAGCATACGGGACAATTATTGCTTTTGTTTGTTTTTGTTTTGAGATGGAGCCTCGCTTTGTCACCCAGGCTTGAGTGCAGTGGCACGATCTCGGCTCACTACCACCTCTGCCTCCCAAGTAGCTTGGATGACAGACTCGAAGCACCACACCTAGCTAATTTTATG